GAATTGTTAGTGAGGGGGGAAAATACAGAGTGAAATGATGCCCTTGGCTGCTCTGATCCCAGCAATGCCCCACACCTGTGTCCAAAGTTTCCATGGAACTTTGGATTTAATGTGGATTGGGGGAGGTTCTTTGTACAACTGAGTTTGAATGTGGATTTTGGGATTCTTGGTGCAATTCCCACCCGTGGTGTTCCACAGGGAGAGATCCCTGGGAAACCATCCTGGAGGTGCTGAACTGCATTTGTGTGTGGATCCAGGCTCATCCTTCCCTCTGCACTCTGGATGGACTCAGGGATGTGCCCAAATTTTGGGATTTAAGTTGGGAAAATGCAGTTCAAATTCCCTTTTCCCTGTGGGATTTTTCCTTGGATGGCTCTTTGTGCCCAAGGAGGGATTTGAGGCAGGGAAGTGATCCCATGGCCATGTGATTTTTGGGAATCTTATGTGATTTATGCTGGAATCTCCTTCCCTGCTCCCAGAGGAGGAGGAGGAGGAGGGGAAAGTTTTCCAAGAGTGCTTGGAATTCCAGTGGGGATTTGTGCCTCTATTTTGGGTCCCATCCTACTTCCACCCCCATCTTCATCCTCACCCTTCCATCCTCATCCTCTCCCTCTCTGTGCCAGGTGAATCCCTTTCCCATCTTTGCTTTTCCTCATTCCTGTCAGGATTTCAAGAGGAATTTCTTCCCGTGTGCCCTGAGCATAAAGGGAAAAGCAGGATTTGGGGGGAGTTTGGGAATTTTCAGGCAGTTGGGGGAAGGAGCAGAGAAACTGGATATTGTTTTCTCTACTGGATCTTTTTCCTGGAGCACATCTTGACTTTTCTAAAATCCTAGAATTGTAACAGATAAATTATGGAATAATTAATAAATGAAGTCAACCCTTCCTCATTTTTATAAATGAAAGGATAAATCCTTATTTTCAATGTATTTATCTCCTCCTTTCCCTGGAATATCCAGTGCTCCTTGTTCTTTCCTATTCCAGCACAGGGGAAATGGTGTCACTTCCCTTGCTCCAAACTTCCAGCTCCAAACCCTCAGTGGGATTGTTGTCTAAACCAGGAAATGGGGATTTTTGGGAAGCAGGAGAGCTGGATTTGGGGATGTGCTGCAGCACAGGTACCTCGACCTCATTTTCCAGGGAACTCAGCTTGAATTCCACCTCCTGGTTAAATGAGATTTTCCCCAGGGATTTTCCCTCCTCACATTAGTGCTTTTTCCTTTCTGCTCTCCATGGTTTTTTGGGAAGGAGCAGGATTTCCTGTTACCTTCCCGACTTTTCCTGCTTTTCCATTCTCCATTTGCAATGTGCTGTTTTTGGGAGCAGGGACACCTTGAGATATTAAAAGCCCAGTGCTCTGCACAAAAGACTTCCCAGGAATTCCTCCCAATATTCCATTAATATTCCATGAAGCACAGAGACAGCTGCACTTTTGTCCTTGGTTTTTATCCCACGTTGGGGATTCATAAACAGACGAGCAAAGGCACTTCAGGCCTGGGGGTGTTCCAGCAAATTCTTCGGTCTGGAGGATGGAAATTGAGGGGGAAATTTGGGATGGATAATGTGGAAGGAATTCCTGGCTGTGAGGGGAGGCACTGGAGCAGTTTTCCCAGAGAAAACTGTGGATGTTCCATCCCTGGAAGTGTCCAAGGGCTGGGAACACCCTGGGATAGTGGAAGGTGCTCATGGCAGGGCTGGGAATGGGATGAGCTCTGGAATTCTGGGATTCTGTGAATGGGAGCAGCAGAGAGGGAATTTCCTCCCCAGCTCCCAGGGAATTGCATTCCCAGCAGGAACCCAGGGATGCAGCTCTCCATCAGCATCCAGGAAAAATGGTCAAACCCACCTGGAGAATTCCTTTTGGGCTTCGGGATCCTGATGGAATTGCAGATTTCCACCTGAGGTTTGGTTTGGTTTGGTTTGTTGCTTTCCAGTTTCCTTAGCCCTGGTGTGGATGAGGGTGATGCTCCCTGGAATTCTAACCCAGCCTGAACAAAACAGGTTAATTCCCAATTTCCTGAGCTGAGTTTTTGCATTTGATTGCCTTTCTTTGGACATCGAGGTGGCTTTCAGATGGATCCCTGTGAATTCCTGAGCTGAATTCCTGCTGGGAATGGGCCTTTTCAGCTCCCAGGGCTGTTAGGCTGCTGATACTTAGAGAAGAAAAGCTCCAGGCTTCCAGATTTTCCTCTTTTAAAGGGAAGAAAAGAAAAAAAAACCCTCAGGATTTAGGGGAGATGAGGCTCCTAAAGTTTTGTCTTTTAGACTTTAGAAGCCTGAGGGTATTTTTTGGGCTCCTTTTACATAAGGACAACCGAGATAAAATTCCAATTATTGTGTGGGTTGCACTTAAAAAAGGGAAAAATCTCCTTCAGCTCAACCTGTTGAAGCACCAAGAAATGCTGGAGCTGCTGAACCCTGGAATTAAAATTTTTATCACCATTCCCATGACAAAATTGGGATGTTTCAATCAGGAGAGAAGCTGATAAAGTTTAAATATTTAAAAAAAAAAAAAAAAAAAGGTCAAAATATGGCTCCATGTAAGGAATTCTGGTTGAAATGTGGTCTCCAAGAAATTATTTTGGTTGAAATGTGAGTCTATGTAAAAAATCATAGAAATGTGACCCATGTAAAGAATTTTGATATAAATGTGGTTCTGTAGCCTTAAAAAAGCTTTTCCTGGAATTTAATTGGTGTTTAATTTTGTTTTTTAACAAAATTAATGCATCAAGGTGCTGGAAACAGATCAAAGGTGGTGAAGCTTCCTGGTGGTGGGATTATTTTTGTATTCTTTGGTTGATTTTGTGGTTTTTCAGGTTATTTTAAAAATTTCTTCAGCACTTCTCAGGGTGTTCAGTTTTATTTTGGGTTTTACCAACTCTTTTCTCCTGACTTTCCCAGGAAGGAGACACAAAACTGCAGGAATTCCATGTTCGTTTTTTTCATCCCAGTTTGGTTTTTGGTGCCTGCAGGGAAGCAAGGTGACAGCTGAGGGAATTGCTCCAAATCTGTGGAACTGGAAAAATGCTGGAAAAGCCCTGGGTTGTGTGTTGGGATGGATGCTGAGCTTGGAGCTGGGGGATTTTATGTAACTTCATCTCAGCGTGGGAGGAATTTGGCACAAGGTTCCTGAGGGAACGGCAGAGCCTTCCTTAATTTTGGAATTCTATTTTTATTTTTATATTTTTTTTTTTTTAATTTGGGGTGAAGGAAGAGGCTGGGAAGGAAATGGACTCCATGACCTTACTTTTAGGAAGGTCAACACCTTTTATTTTAATTGATGGAATCGCAGAATCCCAAAAGGTTTGGGTTAGAACGGGATCATCGTGTCCCACCCGGGGACACCTTCCACTAACCCATCCATCCTCACCTTGGGCACTTCCAGGGATGGGGATCACCTTTTTCCTCTCTTTTTCCTGCAGGATTTTTCTGGGATTTGAAGGATTCTGACTCTCTTTTCTCCTTATCATTAATTATCCTTGTTATTGATTATAAACACAAAATTTAATTACCTGTCTCCCAATGTACAGCTGATTAAAGATGGATTTTTGTGTATAAAGAGAGTTACTTTTGCTTTAGAACCCTCAGCTTCCACCTGTTGGTTGTGATTTTCTGCTGCATCTCCTTAGGAAGTCTGGAGAATCTTCCTGGAATCACTGAGGTTGGGAAAGACCCTGAAATCATCAAATGCAAGGTTTTTGCTGAGTGTTGACCCCACAAAACCTCAACCCCAAACCCCCAAACCACATGATGCTTCCTGAAAGTCTCAAACTCCTCTTTTGGTGATCCTGAATTTGAAAGCTCCTTTTAGGCCTTAATTCCAGTCTCAGAGTGCTCCTGAATGGGTGGGATTTGGAATTCCTGCCTTTCCTGGCCCCATTAAATCCCATCTGCTCCCCAGAGGAGGCTCCTGGATGGAATCAAACCCCATTAGTCCTGCTCTGGGAATAATTTATATTCTTTTAATAAGCTGGATCACTTGGATGGGAGTCTTTGGAGGGGCAGGAGAATATTCCTGAGGGGGAAGTTCTTCCCAGCACTTCCCTTTGCTCCCAGTTCCCAGCTGGTGATGGTTTCAATGGGAATGTGGGCGCTTCTCGTTCCGTCACCGCGTCCGGGTTGCTCCGAAACGAAAATTTTGACTTTTTCTTCCAGAACTGGATATTTCTCATTCAGCTGATGCTTGTGTGTGAAATTTTCTGTGGGAAATCTTTGAAAAGCTGATAAAATGTAGGAAAATTCCAGCTCCTGTGCTGTGTTGAAGTGCTGGAGAGGGATTTTGGGATCTCTGGTAGATCCATGACAGAGGGATGGGTGAACTGTTGATGCCTTGCCTGAGGTGTGTTGGTAGGGCCAAGAAATTCTCCAAAGCAGGGAGAGGGAGTTGTGTTCCTGTTCCTTCTTCCCTGAGGAAAAATGTCTTCACTGTGGGATCAGAGCAGAGAACTCGAGAGGAGTGGAAAGTTGGGAAAACCCAACTTTCCTGTTGGCTCAGCATGGAGAATGATCCTAATTAATTCATTTTCAAGCTGCCAAAATAGGGATTAATTATGCAAATAGCCAGGGCAGATGCACAGCAGTCAGACCTTCATTAATATCTTTAATTTCTGTCAATGAGAGGCAGAAACTTTCAGTTATTCAGGAAAGTATTCAAGTGGAAAGAATCCCAAATCCACCTTTTTCAGTCACATTTTTGAGGGTTTTATTCCTGTTGGAATAACTGGTGACAGCACCAAGCCAGCAGTTCTCTCCAAAAAGGTTTGCTCTGTCCTAATCCATGTGGGATTTTCCAGGGAATTTTGGAGCCTCCCAACTGTGCCGTGCTCCCCTCAGATCCGTGTTTGTGTCCGGGTGCTGTCGGTGTTTCCCTCACTCCCAAATCCATCCCATTCCAAACCCAGATTTCCAGGGTTACATTTCTTATTCCTACCTGCTATTCACACCTTCTTTTCCTGTTTTTTTCTTTTTTTTTTCCATGTTTCCTCGGCTGGATTGCAATAGAGAAGAAGAAAATGAGGTGAGTAAAAACCAATTCCAGCATTCCTGGGTCTCCTGTGAGCCCAGCTGGGTTGGTTTGACTGAGACATTCCATGAATCCAGAGCCACTGAGGGGCTGGATAGAGCAAAGGGATCCTTTTCTGGGATTCTTCTGGTTAAATTTAGGAAGGGGTGGCAGTGATTCTCATTAAATTTGGGAAGGACAATAATTCTCATTAAATTTGAGAAGGAAGGGGCAATAATTCCCATTAAATTTGGGAAGGAGAGGCAATAATTCCCATTAAATTTGGGAAGGAGGGGTGATAATTCTCATTAAATTTGGGAAGGAAAGGTGATAATATTCATTAAATTTAGGAAGGAAAGGAAATAATTCCTATTTAATTTGGGAATGAGGGACAGTAATTCCCATTCATTTTAGGAATGAGGTGTGATAATTCTCATTAAATTTAGAAGGAAGGGCAATAATTCCCATTAAATTTGGGAAGGAAGGGCAATAATTCCCATTAAATTTGGGAAGGCAGGGCAGTAATTCCAGTACCACTCGTGCCACAAGCACACGGGCGGTGATGGCACAGCTCGGTGTGGGTTGATGCTGATTATTTAAAGACATAATTTGTAAAAATAATGAGTTTTGCTGCCTGTGACTCAATGAATTTATTGGGAAAAGAGAAAACTTGGAGGCTTGGGATAGATTTTAATCTCCTGTCTTTGAAATGAGAGATGTTAATCATTTTGCATGTGCCTTTTTTTTTCCATTTTGGGAAGTTTTCCCTTTCTGTAAAACATGAGAGGAAGGAGAATTCCTCTTCTCCTGGGGAGCTTTCCCAGGAATTCCCACCTATTACATTTACCAGGTTACCTGTGGAGTGTGTTTCAAATTCTGAAAATTGTGTTTTGTGTTCGAGTTGCTGTTATTTGAGGAAAAAAATCCCTGGAAGGGTGAACACATGAGGGGAGATATCCTGGAATGTGTCAGCTCTGCAGAGTTGGCTGTGGGAAGGGGAGGAATGGAAATGTGGCAGCTCTTTTTTGCCTGCAGATCCCATATTTGGGATCTATCCAAACCCCCTTATTCCCATTATTTCAAAGCTGTTGTGCTTGAAATTAGAAGGATTTTGATCAAAACGTTGACACTTATAATAATGGCACCAAAGTTGTAGCAAGAAGGAAAACTCTGAAACGCTGATTTCCTGAATTTCCAATATTTTTAACTATACATTTGTTATTATTTATAATTGATATGATTAAAGAATCCAATCTCTGATAAGAATTTGGGTTCAGATCTGTGGAGATCCTTCAGGGTGTGGTTAGAGAGGAACCTGCTTGCTTCTGTTGTCCCAGGCTGGAGTAAAAAAAGTGGGAATTTCTGGTTGTAAGGATAATCATTGATCCAGGAATCCCCCAAAATGCTGTTCCCTCACTCTTCAGGAGGCTGAAGTCCTAGAGGAGGGTGGTCTCAGTAGTGTTCATTTTGTCCTTCATTCTTCCATCAATTAATTGATATAAAGTTGTGGATTATTCCCAGGATCACTTTTGATGTGTGGATTCTCTGGAAAACAGGGATGGCATTTTCAGCTGGGATTTGTGGAGGTGGTTGTGAGTTGTAGTGAGAGGAGCCCATTTCAGAGCTGGAGATGCTCCTTTTTTCCAAAGTCAATGTTTTGGGTGCCCTTTTAGCCATGAAACTCCTTTAAAATCACCTCTGAAATGTCCCCTCATAAAAACCATGGATTTCAAAAAAATACTTTTGGGTTTTGCTACTAGTTTTACCACAGTAAAGGGAATTTGCTGCTGCACATCCAGAGTGATGCTGGGTTGGGTCACCAGGATGAGTCATGGATAGACCATTAAAAGATACTCACAATGAAAACCCCAATGTGTTGAAAAAGAGGATTTTTTGGGACATGTGATGTCCCAGGGTGCAAAAACCCCAGGATTTCCAATCCACCAATGTCTCATTAATCATTTACTGCGGTGCCTTGAGTCTGGGCAGCTCCACGTTGTTTTCCATGAGTTAAAGGATAACAAAATCCTTAATAATTCACAGGGGGCTGCAGGAAACTGCTGCTCCTGCCAAAAATGTGCTCATGGCACAGCTACAGCAGCAAAACCCAGCTCTGGACAATTTGGATACGACTCTTTCCATTGGAATTAGGGTGAACACACAGAATGTAATTTCCAGAGCAGCTGTGGCTGCCCCTGGATCCTTGGAAATGTCCAAGGCCAGGCTGGATGGGGCTTGGAGCAGTGTGGGATAGTGGAAGGTGTCCCTGCCCATGGCAGGGAGTGGAATGGGATGAACTCAAATCATTCCAGAATTCCATGATTCTGGTGCAATTTGGGTTTTTGGAGATAGAGACTGTTGACAACAGAGCCCTTTTCTCACTTGATCTTCTCCAGGATTTTATTCCTGGGACACAGATGAGCTCTAAGATTTAAAACAGAGGGAGAAATTCCCAAATGGGTGAATATAGGGTGCTGTGTGCTCTGAAAATTCCTAGGTTTGGGCTTGGAAGGTGCTGAGTGAGCTCCTGGGCAGGAGGCAGCCTGGTGGGAAGGACATGGAGCTTGGAGCAGTCGGTTGATCCAGAGGTGACGGAGTCATCGCGCACCACTGGGTCCTGATGGGAATTCCTGGGGAGTTGTTAATTAATGCTGGTCTGGGCCTGAGCCTGGGAACTTGCAGGAATTAGTAATGACTGGGAGAAGGCTGTTAGGGGGAGGTGGGAAAGGATGGGGTTTAAATTCCTGCTGTAATTGTTGTTGGTCTGGTTTATGCTGGAACCAAATTCCATAATCCCAGAATGGTTTAGGGTGGGAGGGACTTTCAGGATCATCCATTGCAGCCCTGCCATGGCAGGGACACTTCCCACTATCCAGGGCTGCTCCAAGCCCCAGTGTCCAACCTGGCCTTGGACACTGCCAGGGATCCAGGGGCAGCCACAGCTGCTCTGGGAATTCCATCCCAGCCAGGAATCCCTTCCCAATATCCCATCCATCCCTGCCCTCTGGCAGTGGAAGCCATTCCCTGTGTGCTGTCCCTCCAGGCCTTGTCCCCAGTCCCTCTCCAGCTCTCCTGGAGCCCCTTCAGGCCCTGCCAGGGGCTCTGAGCGCTCTCTGGAGCCTTCTCCAATACTGGAAGGCTGCATCCAGGCGGAATCACAAGAAAACAAATGCATTTTAAGCTTAAAACTCAGGGTCTTTTGTAGCCTGGGACCACAGAACAGCATGAAAAAGCTGAGTTTTGCCCTCAATTAACTTTGTAAGCTGAACTCTCTTTTTAAAAAAAATAATAATTAAATGATAAAAGGACTTTGAGCTTGGTCATTAATAAGTCAGATAAAAAGCCTCAGCCTAAACCTCAGAGGAGGCTTAGTTCCAAGCTGGAGAAGTCTGAGGAATTGATTTTTTGAGGACAGAGCTGGGCAATGAAGACAGACGCAGGGTATGCATTTCTCTCGTATCATCATGAAAAATTCACCAGGTGAAAGAAAACGCTGCAGAACTGAGTTCAAACCCCTCAAAATCCAATTCCTCCAACTGCATCTTCTTTTTCTTCCGCAGGGCAAACCTGAAACGGTGCCGAGAGCTGGTTTTATCAAAGGCCCTGTGTTCAAAGGCGTCGCCTCGAGCCGCTTTTTGCCCAAAGGCACCAAAACCAAGGTTAACCTTGAGGAGCAAGGAAGACAAAAAGTGTCTTTCAGCTTTAGTTTAACCAAGAAAACTTTACCCAATCGATTCCTGACTGCTCTGGGAAACGAGAAACAAAATGAAACTCCCACCCCTCCAGCGGTTCCCCTTCCCACTGATTTTAACCCCAAAAATAAACTGGACCTGGGGGATGCCTCCAGTTCAGCCGAGGAATCTTCGCCTCCAAAACCGAAGGTAGAATTGGGGAAGATTCATTTTAAAAAACATTTACTGAACGTCACGGCAAAGCCACCCCCGGCTCCGGCGGCACCGGTAACGGAACCGGTGGCCTTGGCCGTGGATCTCCCCCCAACGCCGCCGCCTCCCCCGCCCCCTCCGCCACCGCCGGCGTCACCGCTGCCGGTTCCTGGAGCCGCGGCCCCACCGCCACCGCCGGTGACGGCGATGCCGGCACTGCTGCTGTCGCCGCCCGGCGAAGCCGAAGCCCCCGTGCCGAGGGAGCCGAGCCACGCGCTGCCCAGGGAGGCCTTGGAGCCCGACGCCAAGCAGGATCCGGCGTCGCGCGGCTCGGAGGAACGCGTGGCTCAAACCGCGCCCGAGCAGACGGAGATAACCTCGCCGAAGGAAGATTCCCATATTGGGAAGGAGGATGAAGTTTCTGACAGCTCCAAAGGTGCTCCAGTGTGCTCCCGGAGGCAGGGGGCCAAGAGGAAGTTCTCGCAGTCGGACGGCGCGCTGCAGGGCTCCGAGTCCGACGAGGATTCCGTGAGGACGTCCTCCAGCCAGCGGTCACACGAGCAGAAGATTTCCAGCACGGAAAAGGAGAGAGATCCCAGACGGAGCTCCACGTCCCTCCGGGGTGATGACCTGGGCAAGTCCTCGTCGCGCTCCAGGTCGGACAGGGATGAGAAGTACTCGAGCTATTCCAAATCAGAGAGAGACTCGCGGTACTCGTCCTCCCGCTCCCGCTCGGACAGAGAGAGGAGGAGAAGCCGATCTCATTCCCGTTCCCGCTCCGATCGCAGCTCCCGAACCAGCTCGTCCTACTCGAGGTCGGAGCGCTCGCATTACTACGACTCCGACCGCCGGTACCACCGGAGCTCCCCGTACCGGGAGCGGTCGCGATATTCCCGGTCGTACGCGGACAGCCGGGCGCGGGAGAGCTCGGACTCGGAGGATGAGTACAGGAGGACACATTCCAGGTCCAGCGACTCCAGGCGTACGTCCTCCCATTCCTCCTCCTCCTACAGAGACTCGAGATCCTCTTACTCCAAGTCGGACAGGGACAGCAAAGTGGAATCGTCTCACGCCGACGTGGACAGGAGAGGGAGGTCGTCCTCAAAAGCGGATCGAGATTCCAAAAGGACTTCCGAAAGTGAAGTATCCAAAAGGTGCTCTCCCCTCGATGAACTGGGCTATCGGAAGGGGTCGTCCCATTCCAAGCCCGACAGTAATGTGAATTCCTCCCGCTATAAATCCACCCCTTCCAAGGCCCCCGCACCAAAGCCTGATAAATTTAAGAGTTCTTTCTGTTGTACAGAATCGATCGAAGAAATCAAGTCCAAGTCTAATTCTCTAGATTTAGAGACCTCTTGTGTAAAGAACAATGAGATCAGGGTGCCCAGTGTGAAAAAGTTGGAAAGGGAAAAAACACTTTCTCCATTAAATCAGTTCAGCGATTCTCCCGCTTTGCCAAAGGCCGACGAGTCCAAGGCGGGTTTGGCGAACTCAAAATCCGAGGAACTTGCAGCAAACGAAGGCCACGACAGTGTTAAGGAGCAAGAAACGTTCTTAAAGGAAAAGCACGATTCCTTAAGAACGTGTTTCCCTATGGAATCCAGCATGAACGGCTCCCCGGAGGCTCAGGATGAGGGTCTGGCAACTTCCAGTGCCTCCAGAGTAGAGGATGTCGCTGCACCCTCTGACAGTGGCCCGGGTCGGTCGGAAGCGTCACCTGCCATCAAGACAAGCCCGTCATATCCATTGCCATCCAATGGGTTTGAGAGCATGGATGTGTCCCAAGAGCAAGAGCCGGATGAGTCCCGGGTCCAGTCCAGCGAGTGCAACAGCCTGTTCCAGGAATCGGAAGCTCCGGAGCCGCAGCAGCCGGAGGAAGCTGCCCCTCTCCCTGTTGTGAATGTAGATCCCACTAAACCTGTCCTTAAGAAGTTGGATGAGGAGGTGACTCCGTGTGACAAAACCAAAGAACCTGTTTTTTGCTACATTTCCGATGATGCCACCCCTGGTTTGTACCACTCGGAAGTGGAAATCGAAGCGGAACCTGCGGATTTGAAAGTGACATCCGAGACTTTCCTGGACGTGCAGGTGGAGCCGCAGACGGTGACGTGTGATTATGAGAGCGTGGAGGATTCCCATTCCAAGTCTGCTGGGGAGGATGAGCACGGCCATCCTTCCCATAGAATCAGCCTGGCAGTGGAAAGCTTGAGCAGGGATTCCTCCCAGGATGGCTGTTCCCAGAAGCTCCAGTCGGATCATCCTGTGCTGGAGGAAAGCGTCTCTTCCAAATGGGACGTGCCCCCACCAGGTGTGTGCCAGGAGCTGCTCCAGCATTCAGAAGCCGAAGAGATGCTGGAGTTGGATGCTCAGCACGTAGATCTTGGCTCAGCAAAAGGCAAGTCATCGTTCCAGAATGAACATTCCTACTATTCGGAAGTGCCGCTGGAGCACCGCAGCAGAGAGGTCGTGGAAGAAAGTGCAGTTTCCACCGAGGGAGCTGAGCTGGATGAGCCGAGGGTTCAGTGTCCTGGTGTATCGGCTGAGAAGGATGAGGGAAACGAGCCCTTGGTGGCCTCAGCTTTTCCAGACGCTTTGTATCCCTCCTCCGATGTCATTGTCACTGCAGAGGACACGGAGATGGTGACCCAAGCCCCGACGTGCGACAGCAGCGGCAACACCTTGGAATTCATTCCCGCCGGCCACGATGATTATTCCGACACGGGGGACAGCGACAGCGAGGGGGGCAGCGAGGACAGTGACACGGAGGACTCGGATTCCGATGATGGGACGCCACGGAAGAGGCTCCAGTCGGTTGTGGTGGTTCCCAAGAACTCCACCATAGCCATGGAGGAGAGCAGCCCGGGCTCCTCCCGGAGCAACCGGCGCTTCTCCGACCACTGGGATGATGAGCGGCCCGAGCCCAGCAGGCCCTACTATGAGGAGAGGTCAGAAAGCACGGGGAGTAAAGGTGGTCCCCAGGTAGAGAGCAGGTGTTCTCCCAGAGGGATGGAGAAGAGTCTGGCAACCTCCACGGAGCTGAGCAGGAAGGAGCCGGAGGAGCTGCGGGCGGATCCGTGCCAGGCGCAGAGCGACGGCGTGGACAGCACGAGCCAGGCGGACCTGACGGCCGATTGCCACGGCAAATCCGGCACGGAGGAGAGGATGGTGCTGCCCGACGTGGTGGCCATGGGAAGGCCCATGGGGCGGCCAGAGGAGCAGCCCTTCTGTGTCACGGAGAGTCTGGAAAGCACCGACGCATCCCGACACCAGATGGGCTCCTCCAAGCCTGACAGTCGGCAAGGGCAGGGCGGGCTGAACCAGTCCGGCCTCGGAGACTACTCCAGGCTGGATGGTTTCCGTGCCCCGGAGGAGGTGGGTGCCGTGGGCTGGGATTTCTCCCAGACAGAGAAGCCCAGCAGCACCTACCAGCAGCCGGACAGCAGTTTTGGGGTGTACTCAGGCTACGTTTACCAGCCAGGCTCGGGAGCCTATCCCAGCTCCCAGAGCTACTGGCAAGGCAATGGTTACTGGGATGCGAGGGCAGGCAGCAGAGCCTCCGTGGTGAACTATGAACGCATCCAGGGCCAGGTGCCGGATTCCCTCACGGAAGACCACGAGGAGTATGAAGAGGATGAGCATTGGGATGAAGAGTGCAAGCCTCGCTTTCCCAGCCCCTCTGGAAAATCCCAGATGCCCGGGCAGAAGGAACAGGGCTCGGTGCAGGCACATGAAATCAGCAGCAATTCCACCAAGGAGCCGGTGCTGGGTGGGGAGAAGAAGGAGGAGGTGAAAACGTCGGAAAAAAACGACGTGAAAGAACGAGGCCCACCAAAAAAAAGGCGGCCGGAGTTAGAGAGCGACTCGGAGAGCGATGGGGACTCCGGGGAGAAGAGGAAGGGGAAGCTGGAGGGGGAGCAGGTGGAGCCAGCACCACAGGATTCCTCCATGGTGGGCAGGTTGTGCATCATGGATGACTTCAGGGACCCCCAGCGCTGGAAGGAGTTTGCCAAGCAGGGGAAGATGCCCTGTTACTTCGACCTCATCGAGGAGAACGTCTACTTGACAGAGAGGTAACTGCTGCTTTATCCTTGTTTTAATTCCTGGAGTGAGTTTGGGATTTAACTTCCATTTGGTTCCAGGATGGTTGGGTTTTTATGGCCAAACTGGCATCCTTTGGAGGGAGGGGCAGGGATGTTGCATTCCCCACATTTTCTCTTTTCCTGAAGAGAATCCCCTGGTTTGGCCCAGACAGTCCCAAGTGCTGAGAAGAACTGGAAAATGGGAGGATCAGAGGGAAAGTTTGATTTATTTATATCATTTTTATAGCTTTACCAGATCCTGCCTGTTTAATATCCCCAAGTGCCAGCTTGCTCCCATTCTGTTGGCACAGGGAATTCTGTCTGGGTGTGAGAAAGCTTTTGGACAAACAAGGCACTTTTCCAGAGCTTTTGGTTACTTCCATGTCTTTATTTATCATCTCAGAGGAGTTTTTTTAGGTCTAATGGCCATAATTTGTTTTCTTTTTCTTATGGATTTTTTGCCTTGTTGGGATCCACACTCCAGAGCATTCCCCAGATCCTTCATGGAAGCTAAAATATGATTTAGTGGATGCCCTGCTTTTTGTCTTAACTCTAATTTTCTCCTTTTTCATCCTCTCGCTTGACAGCAAAACAGAGGCTGAAGCAACCAAACCCTCCAATTTGCCTGATTGAAATACTAAAATATGGATGTCCAAATAGACATAGACAGGGAGGAGAAAGGAAAAACAGCTAAATATCCTGGGAATTCTCTATAAGAAATCATCTTTTGTCATCACAAAATCATCACCAAGTATTCTTGGTTATTCCTCTCTCTCCTGGCGATTATCCTAGGGTTGTAGAGAAATTTATTTTCCATTTTTTCCAAAAACCACATGATAAGGATTGAGGAGGAATTTCTCCACCTGGCTGCTGTCTCACCTGTCTTACCATGCCTTGGCTTCCCCAGGAAGAAGAACAAATCCCACCGGGATATCAAGCGGATGCTGTGTGAGTGCCCCCCTCTGTCCAAGGAGGAGCGGGCACAGGGGGAGGTGGCCTGTGGAGAGGATTGCCTCAATCGCCTGCTCATGATCGAGTGGTGAGTGGAGCTCCTTGGATTGGCCTGGAGATATCCTGGGAACCCCTCAAATAATCCTGGAATTCCTGGGAGGGGGCAGTGAAGTGTCTGTGCTGGCCTGGAGTGACCTTTGGAGCTGCCAGCAGAAGCTGTGGCTGCTCCATCCCTGGCAGATTTCAGGGGTTGGATGGGGCCTGGGATAGTGGAAGCTGTCCCTGCCCATGGAATGAGATGATCCTTAAGGTCCCTTCCTACCCAAACCATTCCATGATTCCATGATTGAAATCTGTGGATGATCTGCAGGAGATCAGCCCTCACAACCTCTTGGATCTCCTTTCCCCAGAGCCTCTCCAGCCTATGGATGGTGTCTCCTTCTCCCTCTGGAAGAGGTTTGCTGCTCCATGGGAGCTGGAGGCAGGGGCAGAGTGCTTGGTGGGATTCCCCCCTGGCACGAGGATTGTGGAAGGATTGGAATCATCTGGCAGAATCCCAAGTTTTGCATTTATCTCACAGGCCAGACCTAGGGCAGGGAATATCTTGAAGGAATAACCCCCAAAACAAGGGGAGAAGAGCCCAGTTCTCCCCATTGGGATGCCTTGATACAGAAATACAGCAGGATCAGCATTCCAAATATTTTTATCTTTCCAGAAAGAAACGATCTGCACTTGCATGCTGACATTCACGTGGTCGTGCTTTTTATAGCAAACCACATTTGAAGGTTTCACACGGAATTCACGATGATAATTTGGGATTAATTTCCCATCAGAGCCCATTCTGTTGGCTCTGTTTTCCTGCTGGGAATTGATTTGCTCTGTTCTTTTCCCTTCCCTCAGCTCTTCCCGGTGTCCAAATGGTGATTACTGCTCCAACCGGCGCTTCCAGAAGAAGCAGCACGCCGATGTGGAGGTGATCCTGACTGAGAAGAAGGGCTGGGGGCTCAGAGCTGCCAAGGACCTGCCATCGTAAGCCTTCCCTCTTCCCACAGCCTTTTCCCACTCTTTTCCTCCCTCCTGAAGGGAAAAGGGCCTGTGGGGTCTGGATTTCCCTGAGAGGGGACAGGCTGAGGTTCTTCCAGCTCGTCCTTGTCCCTGCTGGGTGTCCCTCTTCCTTTTTGGCATCTGTTGTTTTGATCTCCCACTCTGGTTTTGCTCTTCCTGGTTTCCCAACAGCCTTTCCATGGTTTATTCTTGGGATAAATCTGCCTCCCCTTTCTCTGTCCCTGCTTCACTCCAGTTGTGTTCAATCTTCTGCTCCCATCTCTGCAAAACTTTTCTTCCTGAGTTCTCCTCCTCCTCCCCTTTGGACAACAAGAAGATCCTGAGGGGATTTTTCCTCCTGTTGTTAGTTCAGGGTTGTAATTCCCAGTGCTGGTTTAGGTGAGGCCAGGAAATGAGAGAGGAGTGAGGACATTGAGGCACAAGGGAGGATCAGGATGGGGAGACCAAGATGAGGTTTACTGGGAGAAGGGAGCATCCTGGAGCCTGCCCAGGGAAGGGAACAGAGCTGGGGAAAGGTCTGGAGCCCCAGGAGAGGCTGGGGGAGCTGGGAAGGGGCTCAGCCTGGAGAAAAGGAGGCTCAGGGGGGCCCTTGTGGCTCTGCACAACTCCCTGACAGGAGGGGACAGCCGGGGGGATTTGGGATCTGCTCCCAGGGAACAGGGACAGGAGGAGAGGGAACGGCCTCAGGCTGGGCCAGGGGAGGTTCAGGTTGGAAATTGGGAAAACTCCTTCCTGAAAAGTGTTTTCCAGCCCTGGCACAGCTGCCCAGACCAGTTGTGGCTGCCTCTGGATCACTGGAAGTGTCCAAGGACGGGTTGGATGGGGCTTGGAGCAGCCTGGGATAGTGGGAGGTGTCCCTGCCCATGGAATGGGACAACCTCAAAATTCCCTTCCAATCCAAGCCATCCTGTAATTCTATGAATATATCAAATATATAGAACAAATCCTGCTCCAAAGGGAGCTTCATCCTTCTATCACCTTCCCATATGACAACATAAAATCCCAAATTAATCCGAATTCCCTGAGATTAAAGCACATCATTATTGCTGCACCACCAGGATGGCCAGGCTGGGAGTTATGTTCAGAGAATCCACCTGAAGAGGGATTATTTTGTGTTTATCAGTGGTTTTTTTTTTTTTTTTGCAAAGAAAATGGATGTTTTTCACTCTTGCAGCAACACTTTTGTCTTGGAATACTGTGGAGAAGTGCTGGATCACAAGGAATTCAAGGCTCGGGTGAAGGAATATGCCCGGAACAAGAACATCCATTATTATTTCATGGCCCTGAAGAATGATGAGGTGAGCAGTGGGATTGGCTTTGGGAAAGGCTGGATTTAGCTGTGTACAGCACCAGCTCCTTGGGAACCCATGGAGCAGCATCCTGAATCCATTGGGAATGATTTCCTGAGGAAAGGAAACTTCCAGCCTCAGGAGTTTTTAACCCATTGCTCAGTTCCAACAAAATTGTGTCAGCTTAAATGTGTCCCAGTGTCCTTCCAAAAGAAAAGATGGAGCATGGCCCATTGTTCCATCCATGGGAGAGAAGTTTGGGAAGATGCTCCAAGCCAAGCTCACCTTTTTTGGGTGCCCAAATACACCAAAAATCCACATTTCCTTTCACATTAAACTCAGTGAAATAGGGATATTTTAAGCTGGCAAAGTTCCTCTGTGCAGGATTGCCACTGGAATATTTATATATTGATACATATTTTTATGTTTAAATATATTAGATATATTTTTTTATATTATATATATTTATGTATAATGTTCTTAATTATTTATGGCTGCTTCAGCTCTGTGGGATGAGGAGCTGTTCCCTCTGCCTGAGAACAAGGGGGATAAATAGAAATTCCATCTCTTATTCTCCTTGTCTCCCCTGTCAGGACTTTCTGGGTCTGGGGAGCTTGAGAGAAAAGGAGCTAAAAATACTCAGAGTGGTTTTTCCTGGGTGTTTTTCCTCCTAAAATAAGGCTTTTTGGGATTATTGTGTGATTTTAAGTGTCACAAAGGAGTATTTCCAGTTATAAAAGGAGTTTTTATTCCTGGGCTGACTTTTCCCTTGGAGTATGAGGCTTGTGGGAAAAAAAATTCACTGTTCCAACCCCTCATGGCTGTATCAGATACAAAATCCAGCATCTGGATCTGGAAAATTAGGAGCTGTGTAGCTAAATGCTGTCCTAACAAACTCCAATCTCTAAAATAAAAATGGAAAGTATCAAATAAAGAGCGTGAAAGGAGATGATTCCTGCATAGTTTGTGTTTGTGGCTGCTCCCCATTCCAAAGGAATGAATTTTTCCCTTCAATTCTTGTTCTTTTTCAGATCATTGATGCCACCCAGAAAGGAAACTGCTCCCGCTTCATGAACCACAGCTGTGAGCCAAACTGTGAGACCCAAAAGGTAAAATGCTGGATCAAATCCAGCAGCTCCTCCCTCAGGAGAGCTCAGAGTGAAACATTTTCCTTCTTTATTTCGGGAGTTTTTGTTGCTGTTGTATCAGTGACAGGAGAACAACTGGGTCGATTTCAACCCGGCGCTTTGCCCGGTTTGAAATTCCTCGGTGCTGCTTTTCCAAGGATTGATGTGCTTCAGGGAAAGCAAACCTGGAGTCAAGGCTGGAATAACTCTTGGCATCTTTTTTTCCCCAGTGGACTGTGAATGGGCAGCTGAGGGTTGGGTTTTTCACCACCAAGCTGGTGCCATCAGGCTCGGAGCTGACGTTCGATTACCAATTCCAGCGATACGGGTACGTCCCCTTTCCTGCCACAGCAATTCCAGCTTTCCTCTTCCCCAGGCTTCCTACTCCATCCATTTTTCCAGCTTTCCTCTTCCCCAGGCTTCCTACTCCATCCATTTTTCCATCCTTCCTCTTCCCCAGGCTTCCTACTCCATCCTTTTCCCTGATAATTATCCTCCCTGCTTCTTCCTGTCTGATTATTAATTAGCCAAACTCCAGACTTCCTCAAGAATTCTCGTTCTTCCCTTCCCACTCCTATTTTATGGCTTTGCAAGTACCTGAGGAGCTGTAAAAGCCCCTGGATAACTCATCCCCTCTTCCTGGCCTGATCTAGGGCTGCAGGGAAAGCTCCAGCCTGGAATTCAGATCCCTGTGCTAAACCTGAGCTTAAGATTCCTCCATTACTGCTTGGGGAAGTATAACTTGAGGAACATCCCTTCCTTTCCCTTCTGGATCCTTCTCCAGGCCCTTCCTGTAACCAGGAATGAGTTTTTAGCTGCATTTTAAGATTATTCCTTCTTCCTAGAAATTCCTGGAATTGAGCTTCCCTGCTTCTTGCCAGTGCAGAGCCACATTCCTCCAGTGGGTTCCACATATTTAAAATAGCACCCTAGCATTTTCCCAAGAAATTGTGGAATGGAGTTTAAAATAGATGGTGTGTCAAGTGGGAAATACAGAGGCTTGGTAGAAATATTCCTTGGGAATATATTTATTATATTTTTATTTATGTATTAAATTCGTTACATATATATAATATATTATATGCATTATATATTATATATATTTTGTATTTATTGCATTTATTATCCTTGGCTGAACATCCAAAACAAATTTTCCATGTGGATTTTGCTGCTTCCATGAGCCCTGAGCTCATCCTTTATCTTGTTTTGAGCTCTAAAATTCAATATATATATAAAATACATATTATAAAATATTGAATAATATTGAATAATATATTATAAAATAATGAATATATTATATATGAATGAATATGTTGACTATAATTAATGTATCATATCTATTCATAGCTATAAAATGCTATGAAATGCAGGCTTTTCCTAATGAATGTATAATCCTGAGGATAAATTCCTTAGGAAAATTAGGATATTGATGGCAAGAAGTTACCAGCCCCACCAGCTCCACCTTTTCCTCTCTGGTTCCTGCTCCTTGACCTGTGGAGTGCCTGGAGGTGAGGCAGGCTTGGCTTTTCCAGCTGCCACAACTCAGGATCATGGGAGCCTGCGTTGGGAATAAAGATTTGATTTGGATTTTCCGTGCAGAGCCATTCTGATTCCTGGCTCCTGGAGGTGGAGAGGTGGCTGTGGGTGGGGTTGAGCTGTTGTTGAAGCTCCTTTTGTGTCCCCCCCCAACAGCAAAGAGGCCCAGAAATGTTTCTGTGGCTCCTCCAACTGCCGGGGGTACCTGGGAGGGGAGAACAGGGTCAGCATCCGCGCCGCCGGGGGGAAGATGAAGAAGGAACGCTCACGGAAAAAGGACTCGGTGAGTTTGGCTCTCCCACAGTCCCCCCAAGGCTGGAAAATCCCTCTGGGATCGAGCCCAACCATCCCCCAGCACTGCCATGTCCCAAAATGCCATCTCCACGTGGATTTTAGTCCCTCCAGGGATGGGGGGGTTCCACCACCACCAACCCTTTCCACGGTGGAATTTCCCCAGTGCCCAACCTGAGCCTCCCCTGGCTCAGCTCCAGGCATTTCCTCTCATCCTGTCACTGCTCCTTTGGGAGAAGGTGACTCCTGATGGCCTCAGAGTTCAGTCTTTTCCATGGATGTGTCATTAAAGGTTGGATTGGTGAGCTTGGAGGTCTTTTCCAACTCCAATGATTTTATTTCACAAGGCCCCTCGAGATTTGTGTTTTCCTGGATCTTCAGTTAAATCCATATTTCCTTTCTCCTGGTTATTTTACATCCCACCAGAGAGTGACTTTTCCCAGTATTTGCTCATCCATAACTAAACCCCACCATAAATTCCACATAGATTAAAAAATATGGGTTGCTGTCCATGATTTTTAAACATTGATGAAGGGTGAACAATATTGGCTTCACCATTTAGGGCATCACTTGAAATTTGGCAGCTCCAAGGTCAGAGATTCACCACCTCCAGGTTGGGAGGTGGAACAGATGGAATTGCAGGGATGGGTTCACACCATGTGGAAAAAGTGCAGAGAATCCAGAGCAAGAAGAATTTTTCTGGGTGAAATCTTCTGCAAGAACCTGCACAGGCTCTTCTCTAATTCCTACAAATTGTAATTATTCCATCCTTGAAGAGATAAACCTCTATTCTTATGGAGAAGATTTATTCCTAATTCTTTTGGGAAATTTAAAAATGCCAATTTAATTTTGATTTGCTGCCTCAGAGAGTGAGGAAACCGAGACATAATTCCTAAATCATTTATAGGGTGTTTTAAAACCCTAATTAAGTCACTAAATGAGAGGGTGATATTCCAGTATCAGAGAGTGAAGAAACCAAGAAATAATTCCTAAATCATTTATAGGGTGTTTTAAAACACTGATTAGTCACTGAATGGGAGGGTGATATTCCAGTGTCTGTGTGGAGAGGGAATCTCTGGTTGTAAAGATTATAAATCTGTTCCAGTTTATAATCCATAAATCATTACAAAATCATAAAGAATTTAAATATAAAGAACGAATTTGACCTTCAATTAAAGATAATTTCTTAGTTTGTTTTCCTGCATGAAAAGATAAGCTCAGGACTGGGAGAGTTTGGTGGAATTCCCACCAGAGCTAAAATGTGCCATTCCTTAGGGAATTCCTTAGGGAAAAGGGAGGTTGGAAAATGGCTTGGGCTGAGCCTGAGGGTGTTTTCCTTTGGCTGTGCAGGTGGATGGGGAGCTGGAGGCGCTGCTGGAGAACGGTGAGGGCCTCTCTGATAAAAACCAGGTGCTGAGCTTGTCCCGCCTCATGGTCCGCATCGAAACCCTGGAGCAGAAACTCACCTGCCTCAAACTCATCCAGGTGAGGAGCAGCCTGGGAAGGGGAGTGTATTGGTTTGAAAGCAAAACCAGTGAGAGATTCCCAAGTCAAAAATGCAATTTAATAGGAGAAAATAGAAAAAATAAAAGACATGCAGTAGTGGCAAAGAAAAGCAGTGCCAGAGTGAGAGTTCAGTCTGACCCCGCTGCGTAGGGTGGTGGGAGCAGTCCAGATGAAGTGTTCTTGTTGAAGCAGGGATCCTGTAGAAAGGTCTGGAAGCTCCTGTCCTCTGGGATCCAGTGGGAAAAGGCTGCCTTGGTGTTCCAAACCTCAGTTTTTATCTGGGTAGGAAATGCTCAGCTCCTCCCCATCGCTGGAGCATCTCCCAATGGGATGATGGAATTTGATCAGCCCTGCCCTGGGACTGCATGGCCATGAACAGGAGAGATCTCCTGGAGGGAGGATGGGCTGTGGGAAAGATAAAGAACACTGCAACAGCTGGTTCTATCACAGGTGGTGATAGAATACAGACTTCTGGGCACACCTTTCCATTGTAACCTAGGACAGGAGGGATCCATGTCCTGTTCAGGTGACATCCTTGAAGGAAGAGGGGGAATGTGAGAGGCAGGTCCTGCTCTTTTTTTCTGCATCCCAAACTCAGCTGAGCAGCTCCAGGATCCATTATCCTCCAGTTTTTTTCCCCAGTGTGAGCTGTAGTGGTTGGAATGGTCCTGCTGCTGCATCCCTGCTCCAATCCCAGCAGTTCCAGCCACTCAAATCATCTTGGAGCTGCTCAGGTGCTGAGTTCTGCCTCTGCCATGGCTTTGCCCATGGTCCCAGTGGAGCAGTTTTCCATGTTTTTGCCTGGAAGTCTCTGACTGTTCCTCCTTTGCTCTCCAGAACACGCACTCGCAGTCCTGCCTGAAGTCCTTCCTGGAGTGTCATGGCTTGTCCCTGCTCTGGATCTGGATGACAGAGCTGGGTGATGGCAGAGGAAGCACTGCCAACAACCTGAAGCTGCAGCTGGAGGTCAGTGATTCCCTGGGAACTGGGAGAATCCTCGAGGTGGGAAAAGCCCTTTAAGATCGAGTCCAACCATTCCCCAGCAGTGCTGGGGCCACCACTCAGCATTGTCCCCAAATGCCACATCCACAGGGCCCTGAAATCCCTCTAGGAATGGGGACTCTGGCTTTTGCCAGCCCTTTTTGGGGAAAAGGATTTTGGCAGCTTTGCCAAATGCTCAGGATCACGAGGATTTTCTTTTTCTTCTTTTTTTTTTTTTAAATACAAATCCGTGCCAAGTGTTCATGATAAACAACCTCAGGTGCCTCAGTACTACAGGCCTGAAACTTCTGCCCTTAGGCAGATCCTTAATAAATGGAAGGAATTTGCTCCTGTGGTTTTCCTTAGATTCCTGAGGCAGATTCCATGAGCCAGACTTAAAGGTTGTTGCTGTTGCTCTTCATTCCATGCTGGAGCACAGGGATTTTGAGATCCTGACAATCTGAAGTGGAACTGGAATGTTTCATTTTTCCATAAGCAATTTGGGATTGGATGCCCAAAGACATCTGGAAGTTCAAGGCCACTGAGTCCAAGTTCTGCCTGATCCCCACTTCAGTGGTTTAGATTTGTCAATTTTAATGTATTTAAAATTTTTAGCTCACTTCAAAATATAAATTCACAGAGATGGACCAAATCCTCCAATTAATATCCCAGGCTATTGACACCCAAACCAGCCTCTGATTAGTCCCATCAAGTCACAATGGAAGTTCTCAAAAAGAAAACTCCCATAAATGCCCTCTTCTAAGTGCCAGTTAATACAAAACCAGCACACCCACCTTGGCCCCAGCCCAGAGCTCTGAGTGCCACCTCCAGGGATGGGACTGCACCACCTCCCTGAGCAGCCCATTCTCATATTTAACAACTCTTTCCATGAAGAAATCTTTCCCCAAATCCCTCACCCATGACCTGTCACCATCATCAGATCAGATATTTAGATTTTAAATGGGATATTAGGGAGGAATTCTTGGCTGTGAGGGTGATGAGGTCCCAGCTCAGAGAAGCTGTGGACTTCCCATCCCTGGAAGTGTCCAAGGCCAGGCTGGATGGGGCTTGGAGCAGCCTGGGATAGTGGAAGGTGTCCCTGCCATGGCAGGAAGTGGAATGGATGATCCTTAAGGTCCCTTCCCACCCAAACCATTCTGGGATTCCGTGATCACCTTGACACTCCAGAGTTAATTCTTCCTGAGAAAAGCAAATGATTCCAGGTTTCCCACAGCTTTAAATCCTGCTGCCTCTGACAACACCCTGCTTATCCTTACCCTTAGATCATGAAGACCCTGGAGCTGCTGCCCATCCCTACCAAGAACATGCTGGAGGAGAGCAAGGTGCTGCCCATCATCCAGCGCTGGGCTCAGACCAAGACGGCCGTGCCGCAGCTCAGCGAGGGCGACGGATACTCCAGCGAGAACACGTCCCGGGCCCACACCCCCCTCAACACCCCCGAGCTCCTGGCCAAGCAGGGCGTGGAGGGTGACACTGACACCCCCAAGAAGTTGGTGTTCCGCAGGCTGAAGATCATCAGTGAGAACAGCATGGACAGCGCCATCTCGGACACCACCAGCGAGCTGGAAGGGAAGGAGGGCAAGGAGGACCTGGACCAGCTGGAGGCAGCTCCGATGGAGGTGGCAGAGGAGCAGCAGCAGCAGCAGCAGCAGCAGCAGCAGCAGCAGGACATCAAAACTGCCGTGGAGGCACCGGTGGAGAGCAGCAAACCCCAGCCTGCAGAGCTGGAGGCCGAGCCCGAGGCAGAGGTCAAGGAGAGCAATGGAGCGAAGCTGGAGGAGCCCATGGCCATGGAAACGCCGTCACAGGATGAAGAGGAAGGAGTTTCTGATGTGGAGAGCGAGAGGAGCCAGGAGCAGACGGATAAAATCGTGGATGTCAGTGACTTGGCCACCAGGCTGCTCGACAGCTGGAAGGAGCTCAAGGTAAGAGGAAGCTCCGTGCAGCTCCAGCACCTGGAGCTAAGGAAAATGTGGATTTGGTGGTGGTGTGATGCAAATGGGGCTGGTTCGTCGTCTTTTGGTCAATATTTGGTAACTTTTCTCTACAAAAAGTGCTTTCTATATAAATCCTCTGGTGCCAGCTGCACTGGGTGTGACCTGAGAAGTGTCCAGGTGTTGATGAAACCAGCAGCTGGTTGGGTTTGGACACACCTTGGTCATTCCCTTGTTTCTTAGACTGTCCAGGGAAAGGGCAGCTCTGAGGGATTGAGATTCCCGTGAGCATTTTGGGCCCACATCCCTCAGTGTTGGAACAGCTTGATGGACTGTCTGCTCCTGAATTCCATCCTCAGAAGTGTTCAAGGCTACTCCTAAATGCCCCAACGCTGGAAATGTCCAAGGTTGGACAGGGCTTGAGCAAGCTGGGATAGTGGAATGTGTCCCTGCCCATGACAGGGAGTGGAATTGGATGATCCTTAATGTTTTCCCCAACCCAGCCACTCTGGGATGCTCTGAATTCAGTTATCCCAACATCCCCAGCTTTTCCTGTCCCTTCAACCTCTGCTTTCCATCTGCACCGTGTGGAGCCTCCAGAGAAGGGTCTGATGGCCATGCCAGGTTCTCTCAAAGGCAGTGCTGGGTGTTTGCAGCTGGAAATGCCCAGATTTGGGTGTTATTTGGGACTTCAGTGGTTTCACTCCCATCAAGGTCTTCTGGAGCAGAAAACCTCCACAAGAGGAGGGCTTGGTGGCTCCCTCTGTCCTCTGGAATTGTGTCCCTGTCCCCTAGGTGGGCAATGGGATCTGCAGCCAGCAGCTTCTTTTCAATGGGATGTAGGATGACATTCCATAACTGTTCTAAACTAAAAGAAGAAAGATTTAGATCAGTAGTTAAGAAGGAATTAATTCTTCCTGTGAAGGTAGGGAGGCCCTGGCACAGGTTTCCAGAGAAGCTGTGGCTGCCCCTGGATCCCTGGAAATATCCAAGGCTGGGTTGGAGCTTGGAACAACCTGGCATAGTGGAAGGTGTCCCTGCCTGTGGCAGGGGTGGCACTGGATGTCCTTTAAGGTCCCTCCCCGTCCAAACCATTCCATGGTTCTGTGGATCTCCACTCAACACTTCAGTCCCTCCTTGGGTTTCTTTGCATCTTTGGAAACCCTTCACGGATCTGCTGCTCCTGTAGGATTGCATTCCATGTATTATTTTATATTCCTTGTATTCAAGGGCAGGAGGGCTGGCAAACTCTTTATAAACCCAAACCCAGTGATTCCTGAGCATCCAGCAGGAAATGAAGGCACTGCCACAATTCCAAATTCGTGTGGCGTGGTGGGACTTGGAGCCTCTTCTGCCCTTCTTTTAATCAACCACCAGCCCAGCTTTAATTACTGGAAGTAGTTTTAAGCAAATTTGTGTTTTCTGATTCATCATAGAGCTAAGGAGTTTATTTACCCATTGACTTTGATAATGAGTAATGATTGAAAGAGGCTAATTAAAATAATGGGTGTTAATTGTGCTGCGGCTCCGGCGCAGGTGGAGGAGACCTCACCTTAAACTTTGCTTGTGCCATTTTTGGAGCTGCAAACACCAGGATTTAGAAATGCAGAGATTCCCAGGAGAATTCAGTCACATTTTACCTCAGTCTGAATTTTTCAGGAGGATCAGATACTCCTGAGAATTCACAGATTTTGGGAACAATCATTTGTGACACAAATCTTAGAGGGGGAAGAAGTGAGGTAAAACACATTTCTGTAGAGAGCTTGGGTTGTGGTTTGGTGTTTTCCCTCCTTTTTTTCCAAGTGGATCTGATAATTTACCTCATTTGAATTTGCAGATTCTTGGTGTGGTTTTCCTCTCAAAGTGACACCATCAGGTTGAATTTGTGGTTAAATTAGGAAAAGTCCTTTTCCATCATTGCCAAGAGAATTGTTAAGGTTGGAAAAGACCTCCAAGATCAAGTCCAACCTGTTTTAAACTAAAAGTTAAATCAGGCCTTAGTCCTGCTCTGTTTTATCCAGACTGAGTTTTATCAGTCTGTTTATCCAGACTGAGTTGCTCCTTTGGAACGCTCATGTACACGGAGCAGCACAGAGAAACGATAAAATATTAATAAATGTGTGAAATTTCACAAAACTCCCCCAAAACATTGGTTTGAGACCAAATTTGATCTGATGGTGTCGTTTTATCCCCAGGATTTGTGTTTTCTTTGGAGCTTGGAGAAGCTCAGTTTGGGAATTTACAGAATTCTGTTGAAGTTGTGGTGGGACCATGGAGTCCCAACACATTCCCATATTTTAGATGTGGATTCTCATCCTCTCTGTGTATTTATTAATGAACCTCAGGTCTTGGTCTGGTTGTAGGGATGGGGTTGGATCTCATGAGCTTGGAGTAATCCCAGTAAATCCACCCCAAAAAAGCAGGATAGTGACATGGGGCTGTGACAGCTCATTTTTTCTCCTATAAAACAATTTTAGGGAAGCTGGGAGCTGGGAATTTATCCTGTCCTGGACTTTTTCATGGCTCTGGGAGTTAACTGCCTCTGTCCAACTCTCACCTCATAAGGTGCCACCAAAGCCCACCCCGGATGTCTAAAAGACAAATCCAAGCTGGAACGGGGGATGGATAATTCACCCCCAGGTGCCTTTCCCAGCACATCCAAGCTTTGGAAAACCCAGGTTTTTGGCGTGGTGGAACACCTGGCCTTGGCTGGGGAGGGGTGGGAGGGTCGGAAACGTCGTGACTTAAGCGCTGTCCTCTCCAGCCTTGCTGATGACCCCCTTGTAATTTCCACCGTTTCCATCCAGCTTCTCCGGGCAGCCAGAGCTGACCAAGGGGCTCCTTTTCTCCAACTCCGTGCGGAAGAAGGGAGAGGACATAGCACCAAGAGCCGGGAAGATGGTTGGGAAGCTGGCTGATGCATGAGCAGTGTGATAGGTGAAAGGAGGACAGAGGTGGTTAACTCGGGGATGCCGACGTTATTTTGGTGCGTCCATTGCCGGCAATGGACGTCGCTCCGGGGAAATCCCAGCTCCTGGCCTGAAAGGAATTAAGTGAGCTTAATTTTTTTCTCTACCTCTACACACAGGACTTGTAAGTCCTTCCAGGGCTCCCAACACTCAGTGAGGAGTGCTGGTCACGGCCACACCCCTGGCACAACACACACTGACATTCCCAGTGGGGCGAGTTTTCAGCCCGGGCTCGTGGGCGCCGTTCCCGCTCTCCGAGGAAGCGCTGCATGGCTTCTCCCGGGCTGAAAACTCCCTCCCAGTGCCAAAGGATGGCTGCTGGACACCCAGCAAGGCCACCCAGGTGGTTCTTCCAGGTGGATTGTGCTCAGGTAAGGCTCCGTGGGCTGATCCGTGTGCAGAGGCTGGAGGTGACACATGGTGTGATGGCCAGCTGACCTCCTGGAATCACTGGAACACACCAAGGGCCAGGCTTGGGAAGCTCTTCCCAAGGTCCTTGTGAGTAGCTGAGCTGAGGGACACACAGGACGTTTTGGTCCTCACGTGAGACCAAGCTTTGGCAATCTTCTTCACCCCAAAGGAGGCCCTCACCTTCTGGGAAAAGGCAGCTGGGAGTTGTGGCTCTGAGGATCCACAGGCACTTTCCTTGTCACTTAGAGAAAGTCTTGGTTTTAGGAAAAGTCTTTTGGAAGAGCCAGTTTTGGGTTTAAAAGGTTTTAGTTGGATACTTCTGGCCTTGTGAGCGTTTGTGGTGACTTGGAGCTCAAGGCTGAGTCCTCACCCTGACTTGGGCCAAAGTGGACTTCTTTTTTTTTTTTTTTTTTTTTTTTTTTTTGCACCCATCTGGGAGCTTAATAATCATGGAATCAGGGAATTGGTGAGGTTGGAAAAGCCCTCAGAGATGATTGAGTCCAACCATCCCCCAGCACTGCTGAGGCTGCTACTGCCCCACGTCCCCAAGTGCCACATCCATCAGGATTTTAAATCCCTCCAGGGATGGTGGCTCCCCCCTGCCCTGGGCAGCTGTGCCACTGTTGAACAACCCTTTCCATAAGGAATTTTCCCAATATCCAACCTGAACCTCCCCTGGAGGCCATTTCATCCTGAATGGAGCATCTTGGGTGACTAAAGGCCACTGAGCTTCCATCTTGCCCTTGGATGATCTTCCCAAGTCTCCTCTGATTTATCCTGCTAAAGCCCCTTGAAGCTGCTCTTGCCTGTCCCTTTCCCAGTAAAGCCATCCTGGAGTGCCTGGCTCCAGCTCTGGCATGCACATCCCGTGCTTTAATCAGGAATTTTATAATTTGTTACAACTTAGAGCAAGGAGTAGTTGGGGAAGACAATAGGATTGGGCAGCAGCCAGGCCGTGGTTTGCTGTGGGATTTTCTGGCCTTCAAGCAGGGGTTTCATGGTGTTGGTCCTTCCTCTTGCTCTGCTCCATCCCTTGGGATCATGCAGGAGAGGAGAGGAGAGGAGAGGAGAGGAGAGGAGAGGAGAGGAGAGGAGAGGATCCAGCTTGGCAGAGGATAGATTTGGTTGTGTTGTGTTCCTTCAACAAGTAACAGAAATTCATAAAATCATAGGATAAACTCAGGCAATCACTAAGGTTGGAAAAGACCTCCAAGGTCATTAAATCCAACTGTTAATTCAGGAATGACTGGCAGCTGAGGGACAGATTTGTGGAGGAGGTTCCTTCAAGACACAATCTTCCTTTCCTTTGAGCAATGACTCCATCCTGCAGCTCTCTTTCCTTTCCCAAGCCAAGGCTGGCTTGTGCCTGAGGCTGGGCAGCCTAAATCCCATTTTTTTCCCCCTTCTTTTGTGTCGAACAGACTCGTGTCACTTTTCCTTCTGCATTTAATTTTCCGTGCAATCCCTTCAAAGTTGTGCTGGAAGCTCGGGAGCCATTTGGAGCCCGTTAGCGGCGGTCGCGTTGATTGAGGAATTCTGCAGCTCCGAGCCAGCAGCTTCCGTTTCCAAAAATAAAATCAGCTTTTCTTGGGAGTTTCCCCAGCCTGGCCTGACCACCATCTGCTTTTCATGGAGCAATTTGGACAAATCCCTCTGTTTGTTCCTGGTTCAAAGCCTTTGCTGCCTCCATCTTCCCCCATGGAGTGGGTGCTGGAGGCTCCCTTGAGTTTCTCTCCAACAGCTTGGAGTTCACTCCCTGCTCAAAGTTATCTTGGATTTTGGGCTTCCTGGGCTTTTTAGGGCTGGCCAGTTTGTTGGGATGGATCCTTGGATGGGCTCCCCCAATGTCCTGGTGAACTTAAAGCAAGGCATGGCAGGGTTGCCAAGTCCCCTTGCTCCAGGTGCTCCTTATGCTCCTCCTCTTCCCACTGAGCCTTTTCCTGGTGATTTCCCATTGCCCATCCTGTTCTTTAATGGACAGATCTTTTTTAGGAGTTGGTGTAGTTCAGCTCCTCCCAATACTTGTGTTGTCCTTCTGCTCCAGGCAGTTCATTCATGATCTCATTCCTTGGTGGCTCCTCATTCCCCCTGGGAAAGCCAGGGCTGACTTGAGGGGATTTTTTGGATGTGCTGATGTGAAAATGAACGTTTTTAGGAGTTTATTGTGGGAAAGAAAGAAAAAAAAAACCCAGCAAAACTCATTGCTAGAAGATGATTTTGGGGCTTCAGAACCTGCCCCTGTGGTCACCTCCATCCCATATGAGGAAGTGAGAGGCAAAGTCATTCCCATGGAATTCTGTAGGAAAATAAAATTAAATCCATAGATCATGGCTGGATGGGTCTTGGAGCACCCTGGGATAGTGGGAGGTGTCCCTGCCCATGGTTGGATTTGGATGAGCTTCAAGGTCCTTCCAGCCCAAACCATTCCATGATCAGACATTAGAAGGATTACATCATTTATAAATATATAAATCCTATATAATTATGGGCTCATCCTGCATCCCTCCCCACCCCAAACATGGAGCTGCTGCTTTGTTTCTTTACATTTCATTAAAAAAAATCTGGATTTTGAGTACTGTAGCCTATAGCAAACACGTAAATAAATTTTAAAAACTTTATTTTAAAGGGCATTTTTAGGGAATTTTAATGCCTCTCTTTTTTGTAGATGCTTCAAACTCCACGTGCTGTGTTTGGGCTGCACAGAAAAGCAATTTTCCTTTAAAAACCTAAAAATCTTGGCCCAAATCCCTTTTTTTTAGTCAGCAGCAGCACTTTTGAAGTGGTTTTGCCTCGTGGACAAACCACAACAGAGTTTCTTCTCCTTCTTTTTTTTTTTTTTTGCTAAAGGAAATTCTCATTTTTAGCCCATCCAGAGCTGGGGGTGGACACGTTGCTAATGAGGCCCCTGAGCCACCCGTTAATTAATTCCCAAACAGCTTTGAAAACTCAAAGAATTAAAAAAAAAAAAAAAAAAGAGGATATTCTGTAAAATCTGAAAGTCAAGTCAAGGTAAACTCCACATTTCTGAGCATGTGGAAGTTTTAAATTCCCAACTGCAGCAGCCTTCACCCCCCAGGAAGAGTTAAATCCATTTTTTTTCCAACTCTGCCTCATCCAGGGCCTAAATGAATGGAGATTTTAGGGAAGGTGCCCTGGAATGTCAGCACAGCTTCCCAAAACAATTCATTTGTGTTAAACTGAGCATCTCCTTTATGATTTAATGGGATTTTTTTGGGGATGCAGCTGCTGCTCCATCAGGGATGCTCCATCAGACACAAAGCAGCTGGTTCATCACATTCTGCTGGAAATAACTGGGAATTCTTGGGAATACTGTATTCCTTCAGGAAGGGAACAGAGCAAGGGTTTGATAGAAGCTTGAATTAAACAAAAATGAGCTTTTTTTCCCCAACCTTCCAGCACTTGGTCAGCCAGGAATGCTGTAAAACCTCTGTAGGATCATGAGCATCGCTGAGGTAAAATGGGATTTACCCTGGGAATGCCAGAATATTCCAATTGAAAATACAGTGGAGCATGGAAAGGTGCTAATAAACCTCATTTCTTATTTGGAGGGATGCACAGATAATTCCAGTGACATGGGAAGAGTTTTTCCTGCCCAATCTAGGGGGCTTTAACAAGGATGTTGTGCTGAACCTGGACTTTAGGGAAGTTCTGATCCTCATTCCCAGCTCTTCTTCCCTTTCTTCCCATGGTGCCATCTCCACCTGGAGCTGCCAGGACTTTTGTGATCATCCAGTGCCACCCCTGCCATGGCAAGGACACCTCCCACTACCCCAGGCTGCTCCAACCTGGCCTGGGACACTTCCAGGGATCCAGGGGCAGCCGCAGCTGCTCTGGGAATTCCATCCCAGCCAGGAATCCCTTCCCAATATCCCATCCATCCCTGTGTGCTGTCCCTCCAGGCCTTGTCCCCAGTCCCTCTCCAGCTCTCCTGGAGCCCCTTCAGGCCCTGCCAGGGGCTCTGAGCTCTCCCTGGAGCCCTCTCCTCTCCAGGGGAACATTCCCAGCTCTCCCAGCCTGGCTCCAGCCCTGCAGCAGCTCTGGGGCCTCCTCTGGATCTCTCCAGGTCTTTGCTGTGCTGAGGGAGGATCTGGATGAGCAGAGGGTTTGGGGTTTGCTGCTGTTAAGGCGTGGTGGGTGTTGGTGTCTGATCTCAGCCCCTTCAGCAGGTCCTTGGCTGAAGGGGTCACTCAGAGCTGGTCCTGCTGCTCATCTCCCTTGGGATGCTCCCCCATCAGACCTTGGGAACATCATGGAAATGTGACCCTGTCCCCAGTGAGGCTGTCAGCAGCTGGGAGAAGCCCAGGGATGGTCCACGAGCAGGAGGAGCAGATGGTGGCCACCAGAGTCAGGAGCACAGAGCCATGGAATGTCTCCAGTCAGGAGGGATCTGTGGGAATCACCCAGCCCAGCTCTCTGCTCCTTGTTGGGATATCTCAAACTGCCTTGGAGACCAGGGCAGGGACAGCAGGAGCTGCTGCTGGGACACTCTTCCATCACCATGGGATGGTGTAGGACCCTACAGCTCTGCCCAGAGCTCTTGGCCCAAAATTCCACCAAAATCCATCAGAAATCAAACACTGAGCAGAGGAAATATATGGAAAGCACCAGAAAAACCCCAGAACTTTCCTTCAAATGACCCTTTTTGGGTGGTTTCTTGTGAATGGATGATTTGTGTGATTCTTGGTTGTTTGGGGTGGTTCTGGGAGCAGCTGGAATTCTGACCCTGCTCGTGGCTTTTCCACAGGAGGTTTATCGCATCCCCAAGAAGAGCCAAGCAGAAAAGGAAAGCAGTGGTAAGTCCTTACCTTTTCCCAGGTTTTCCTCTGCTCCCTCATTTTCCCAGTTTGGAATGTCAAAGGGTGTTCTGCCTCCATAGCTCCTCCTCCTGGGAAACAGCTCCTGGGAATAGGGAGAATAATCTGAGCACTGGGTGGGGGGAGATGGGCCCTGAGGGTGATATGGAGCAACCTAAAATTAAAATCGTGGAATTGGGGAGCTTGGAAAAGCTCTCCAGGATTGAATCCCCAGCACTGCCAAGGCCACCACTGATCCATGTCCCCAAGTGTCACATCCACATGGCTTTTCAATCCCTCCAGGGATGGGGACTCCACCACTGTCCTGGCCCTGGCCAACCTTTTCCATGAGAAATATCCCCAATATCCAACCTGAACGTCCCTTGGCACAACTTGAGGCTGTTTCTAAGAGATGGGAGCTCTTAATACCCAAATGATAAAAATTCCCTCCTTTTTTTTTTTCCCCTGTTTTCCCAACAGCTGATCGTGGGAGAGAGACAGCTGGGCTCCGGGATCAGACCCCCACTCCCAAGAATCCCATCCTGAGCCGAGAGCGGGATCCAGAGAGGCAGAGCCAGAGCAAGGAGAGGAAGAGAAGGAGAGATTCCCTGTCCCCTCCCTCCTCAGCCTACGAGAGGGGCACAAAGAGGCCAGAGGACAGGCAAGTGGTGGCAGGGAGCTGCCATATTCCAGGGGTCTGCCACATTCCTGGGTAAAATTCCCAGGAAAAAAGGTTCTGGAATCTCCCAGGGCTGGGGAAGGGAGTTTTCTCCTGGTGGAATCCTGGTGCTGAGATTCAATCCCAGTGGGAGTTGGGTGGTTCTTCTCTGGGATAACCTGCATCTCCCATCTTCAGGTGTGTTTTGGGAATGAGGTGGGAAATGAGGGAAGTCCTGCCAGCTCCTGCACAGAGATTAGGGATCATGGAATGGTTTGGGTTGGAAGGACCTTAAAGCCCATCCAGTCCCACCCCGTGCCATGGGTTTCACCTTCCACTGTCCCAGGGTGCTCCAAGCTCCATCTAACCTGGCCTGGGACACTTCCAGGGATGGGGAATCCAGGAATTCCAGGATGCAGCCCTCGTAATGCAAAGAGCTCCCTGGGTCCTACAAAACCCATTCCCTTCTCCTTCTCCACCTCTTCCCATTGTGCTGGGAATTATTCTCAACTTGAAGCAATCCCTGCCCTGTACAGGAGGGAGCAGTGCCTAAACCAGGATTTCTAACTCCAAAACTTCCTTGATTTAGCAGTTATTCCCTAAAAATACCTGTAAGGACAGGTGGGTGTGATCCCAGCAGGCTCCTGCCTTTCCTTGGGAATGGTGGCATCCTTGCCAGGGCTGAGCATGCGACTCCTAACGAAGAGAAGGAAAATATTCCATGTCTTGCAGTTCAGAGAGAATGGAGATCGTGTTAAAGGCAGCAGAAATACCATGGAATTTCCTTTAAAGAAGTCACTTTTCTGTTGTCCCTCTCAAAGCCACTCCATAATTAGGGAACAATTGGTGCCGAGTCAGCCAGACGAGGAAACCTCGCGTTGAGCTGAGCTGGGAGAGTTGGAAACATCTGGATAGAAAATACAGATGTAAATCTATCCCTCTGTAACGAGGCTGGAAGCATTCCCAGGAAGTAAATCCTGGATTTTGGGGGTTGTTTTAAACAGAACAAGCATTTTTTTGGGTGAGGAGTTGCTGCTCTGGCTCTTCCCCCTGTGCTGTGTCCTTGTTGGTGAAGGACCAAATTCCATCTCTGGGAATGTTCTCCCCACTCTGAGCATCCCTCTTTGTTATCCCAAGGATTTAATAAGGAAAATAACCAAATAGATTGAGAAAGAAGCACTAAACCCTTCTTCCCACTCCCTCCATGGCAGCTGCTTCTCTTCCAAACTCTCCAGGCAGTGCCAGGAAAGACTTTAATTAGGGAAATCAAACTCCTCCCGGCAATGAGGTTCCCATTAACGGATCCTGCAGCTCCTCTGGGAATGCCAGGAAACAGCTCCAGCAGATCTGTTGGTAGCAATGTGCTTTTGATATGTAAATGGATCCCAGGAACACAGAATATATGGAGAATATCCTGGATGCTTTGTAGAATCCATTATATTAAGGCTGCAAAGCATTTTTCCTTGTAATCCCTGTTTTACCACACTCGTAACGTCTGGAAATATCCACCTTTGATCTGAAATTTTCCTTGGTTGGGCTTTGATCAAAGTCCTCAGGCTTTTTTTTCCCCTCCTCCCTTAATTCCCTGGAAAAATCCCTCCAGCTGCTGCGCATTTTGGGATGAAAACTCTTAAGGAATTAAAAAAAAAACCATCCACACCATTATTTTTTGAAGCTGCGGTCTGGGAACGAGCAGAATTCCAAACAGGAATGTGCTGCTTGTGATTCCCTTGTTCTTTGCTGTGTCTGCAGCTCCCATGTGGGAGTTTTGGACTAGAAAGATGGAATTCTCACCCCAGCACTGGAATTTGGGGGGGAAGGTGCTGCGTTGTGAGTTTCTCCTCTTCAGGAGCCTCTTCCAAATTCCTTGTTTGTCCTGCTTTGGGAAAACATGGCAGAGTGTTTCCAGCAGGGCCTGTTTGGGGTGCCCTGCAGATTGTGAGTTTTCCTTGGGTTCTCTTGGAGATGTTCCCTCCCTCTCCAGGTATCCCAGAGCAGCTCCTCTGGACAGCTTCTGTGGCATCCTTGCATCTCCATCAGCACCAGGCTGATGTTGCCCAATCCACTGGGATTGCTCATCCTCTGCCCTGGCTCCCTGTGGATAAGCAGGACCAGCAGATGTTTCTCTTGAATTGGTCAACAGCTGGAAAAATGGAAATGTTTTTAGGAATTCATGCTGTTGTTGGGCATTCCAGGTTTTCCACTCTCAATTTTGCTGCTGGAGCCCTGGGCCTGCAGCTTCCTGAGGCCTCACAGGCTCCTTCCCTGTTCCCTCTGTGCCAGGTACGACACCCCAGCATCTTCCAAGAAGAAAGTCCGGCCCAAGGACCGCAACAAGCTGTCCACGGAGGAGCGCCGGAAGCTCTTCGAGCAGGAGGTGGCCCAAAGGGAAGCCCAGAAACAGCAACAGCAGCTCCAAAACCTGGGAATGACATCCCCACTTCCCTACGACTCCATGGGCTACGGAACATCCCACCACAGCTTCATTGGCTACCCACCAGGGTACCCCATGCAGGCCTACGTGGATCCCAGCAACCCCAACGCCGGCAAGGTGCTGCTGCCCACGCCCACCATGGACTCCATGTGCTCTCCAGCGGGATATGAGCATTCCCAGACTTTGGTGGGGCACACGGTGGAGCCAACCCTGAGCACCCCACAGCCAGTGCCCGTGGTGCAGCACGTGGCCACCACCATGGAGGTGGCCACGCCGCAGTACGTGGCGCAGAGCGACGCCGTGGTGCACCAGGAGGCCAACGTGGCCACTGTGCTGCCGGTGGCCACGGCCGGGGCGGTGCAGAGCCAGAGTTATGGGGTGTGGGATTCCAGCCAGCAGCCCGTGGCTGTCCAGCAGCCCTATTCCCCAGCCCAGTCCCAACCTGCCATCTACTACCAGGGCCAGACCTGCCAGACCGTCTATGGAGTGACCTCGCCCTACTCGCAGACCACCCCGCCCATCGTCCAGGTAATTCCAGCTGGGAACACCCATGGAACCAGGGCAGCCAGCTGGGAAAAACACCAGAGTTACTCACTCTCTGTTACTTCTCTTATTGGAGCATCTTCTTAGCTCTTCTCAGGGAACTTCCTGCCCAAGAGTAGGAGAAAAGACATTCCAGGGTATTTTCCATCTACAAATGGTATAAATTGGAGAATCGTGGAATCCTGGAATGTGTGGGGTTGGAAGGAATCTTAAAAAATACCCAGTGCCACCCCTGCCATGGGCAGGGACACCTTCCACTGTCCCAGGGTGCTCCAAGCCCTGTCCAACCTGGCCTTGGACATTCCAAGGGATAGGAGATACTGGGCACATCCAGGAATGGGGAATATTGAACACATCCAGGGGTGGGGAATATTGAACACATCCAAGGGTGGGCAATATTGAACATATCTAGGAATGGGAAATATTGGACACATCCAGGGATGATGATTCCATAGTTTGTGGGACCAATCAGGAGTTTACAGCTTGGAGGAATATTTTGTTTTTTTGACTGCTGAAGGGAGATTTGTGGCTAAAAGCTGAGTAAAACGTGGATGTGGCAGCTCAGTTTCCACCGGGTTTTGGAAATAGAGTCTGGAGCTACCAGAATTAATTATATTACAAAAATCGAAGTATAATAGGAAGGAATTCCTGGCTGGGAGGATAGGGAGAGGCTGGGATGGAATTCCCAGAGAAGCTGTGGCTGCCCCTGGATCCCTGGAGGTGTCCAAGGCCAGGTTGGTGCTTGGAGCACCGTGGTCTGGTGGAAGCTGCAGTCCTGCAGGAAAAGGGGGTTTTTTTTTGGGAAAAGCACCTGAATGTGATTCCCTGTTCCAGAGCTATGCCCAGCCAGGTCTCCAGTACATCCAGGGCCAGCAGATCTACACAGCTCATCCTCAAGGAGTCATCGTGCAGCCCCCCACGGCCGTCACCACCATCGTGGCAGCTGGGCAGCCCCAGCCCATCCAGCAGGTGAGGATCCCAAGGGATGGGGGAGGGTTTTCCCATGGGATAAAGAGCTGCCAGGACACTTTTCACGACCCCTCACAACTTTCCCTTCATCCCTTTGGTGCTGTTTGCAGCCAGAGCTGGTGGTCACCAACAACCTCCTGGATCTGCCTCCGCCTTCTCCTCCCAAACCCAAAACCATCGTCCTCCCTCCCAACTGGAAAACGGCCCGGGATCCTGAGGGGAAGATCTACTACTACCACGTCGTCACCAGGTGGGTGTGGACGTGGCTGTCCCCTGTCCCCAAGTGCCACATCCACAGGGCTTTGAGGTCCCTCTGGGATGGGCACTCCACCCTTTCCATGAAGGAGTTTTCCCAATATCCAACCTGAGCATCCCCTGGCACAACTTGAGGCTGTTCCCTCTTGTCCTGTCACTTGTTTTTTGGGACAAGAGCCCAGCTCCCACCTCCATAGGAAGAAACACGATTTTCCCAATGTTTTTCCTACACCTTTCCCATCAGTTTTGGAAAAAAAAGCAGGTTTTGGATCAATCTCTATGAATTTACCTGAAATTATAATGAGTTTTAAGCTTCTAAAAAGGACTTTTTAAAAATATCCAGCTCCTTGAGAGGTGTGGATGGGGATCCACCTCTGAAGGGATAAGCAGGAAGATTTTCTTCCTTACCCATTTCCTGTTGTTGGTTCTTGTTCCTGGCACACAATTCCTCGCATCCATTAATCTTTTCCATCTCCCTTTTGGATTCCCTCCCTGCTCCCTGGCACACAGCAGAGCAGGAAACCTTCAAACACCTGGAATTCAAACCAGTGGAGCAGGAATTGGTGAATTGTGTTGTTTGGAAGTCTTGGGATGAAATAAGGAGAGCCAAGAGAGCCTTGGTGGAGGCTGAGCCTTCCCTGGGCTCTCTGCTGGAATATTCTCACTTTTCCATGCTGGAAATCCCATCCTGGTGATGAACATCCCTTGATCCCACAGTGTCACCATGGTAGAAAATGGTGCAAGTTCCCATTTTTCAGTTTTTCCTGCTTTTCCAATCTAAAAACCTTCAAATTAAGAGCAAGGCCGTGAATTCCGTGTGACAGGAATTCTGCTGGCTGATGGAATCTGGATGTCCCAGCTGATGGGCTCATCCCTGAGCAGGTCCCAGTTTCTCTGAGGAGGTGCCAATGGTGTGTTCTCCTTCCTCCAGACAAACCCAGTGGGATCCTCCAACCTGGGACAGCCCTGGGGACGACGCCAGCCTGGAGCACGAGGCTGAGATGGACCTGGGGACCCCCACGTACGACGAGAACCCCATGAAGGTGAGGGACACAAATCTTTGGGATGGACCAGGGGGTGGGAGGTCACTGTGGAGCTGGGAGGTGGCAGAGGGGACAGAAGTGACCCAGGATCCTTTGGAGTGGCTGCACTGGCCACACTCAGGGCTCTGCTGTTCCAGCCACAGCTCGAGTGAACTTCCCTGAAGTTCTGCCCTGTGTGTGGAGCTGGCCAGAAAAATGGGAATAACATTGGAAAAGGACAAACTAAGGGTGTAGCTGAGGAGCCTTTCCCATACCTGATTCCTTAAAAAGCTGGAGAAAGTCCATGGAAAGAAAGAAAGAAAGGAATAAATTCTCCCTCTGCTTTGGTGCTCCCACATTCCTGGGATTTGCCTGGAGGTGTTGTCCATCCTGCAGCACCCAGGAACATCCCACATGGCTGCTGTTGCCTTTCCATGTGCTGCCAGGATCCCAAGGGTTAATCCCATTCCCAGAATGCCTCTGAGTGCTCCTGCCAGGATTCCTGGCGAGTTCACTCCAACGAAATTATGTACAAATATCTCCCTGAAAAAAAGTTAATTGGAAAATGAGCTCAGAGCTGGCACTCCCCACTCAGCCAGGGGGCTGTTGCTTCCACAGCAGAATCCAGGGACGCCTTTTCAAGGATTTTTATCCCTGGATCAGTGGCACGTTTATCCCATGACATTCCCTGATATTCCAGGATCTTGGGTTTGCAAATATTTTTTGCAGATATTTGCAAATAGTGGGGTTGAGCAAGAAAATGTTAACTGGAGGCTCTAAAGGGAGATTTGAAGCTGGAAAAGGTGTGAAGGGATGAGCTGAAGCTCAGTGGTGGAGAGCAGTGTGGAGATGTTTGGGAACATCCCTGGGATGGGCACGAGTTGCTGAGGAGAAGGTTGGGCTTTTCTGAGTGAGGAAATAGAGCTGTGCTGGTGCATTCCAGCTTGGGAGCCGCTTTCCTATGGAATTTTGATGGTCTTGGTGCTGCCTGCACAGCAGAGGGAGCAGCAGGGGAAGGTGCTTCTGTAAATGTGGGGTTTTATCCCAGAAACTGGAATAAAGAGGAGCCGAGGGCCGAGGTCACCATCCTCAGGCTGAACACAAACCGGCTGCTCCTTCCAGGTTTTGTTGCTGACTCCAAACCCAAAATCCCTGAATTTCCCTGAATCCACGAGTCCCTCATTCCTAGATGAGCCATGACTCTGGCTGACCTCAGGCTGAGGTGGTTCCTCCTCACTCCAGAGCTTTCATTCCTTTCCTTCTGAGCCAGGGTGGCCGGAAGGTTGAGTTTTTCCTGGCACTGAATTCCCATGGTCACAGCTCCTGCCTCTGACGCTTCCACCCTGGAATTACAACCACATTCCTTGGATTTTTTACCCTCCTCCCCACCCAACACCTTTTCCAAATGGATTAAACCCACCCAGGAGGGATTAAACCCACTGGCACCATCTGACAGCTGCTGCTGCTATTCCCGGTGTTCCTGGGCCTTGGGGGAGGATTTTGATGGAAAGGCACAAGAGGAATGGGAAGCCAGGGTCACTATTCCCTCTAAAGCACATTTGAAATCTTGTTTTTCCCTTGGAAAATGGCTTTCCTGAGGGAGTGGCCCAGCAGGAAGACTGGCAGGGACACTGGGCTGGATGCTGAAGGTTTTGCATCCTTTTAGATGGAAAAAGCTTGGATTTGGGATGAGTTTGTCTCTGCCCGTTGGTTCTCCATGGAAAGGTTGGTGTCAGTGGAGCAGATCCCAGCTGCTGGAGAATCCCAGTCAGGCTCCCCCAGGTTTTCCCAAACATTTGGTTTCTTGATCCCATCCCAGGCTGGTATTCCTCCCATCTTTGTGGCTTCTCCATTCCCATCTCCTCTAGAGGCTGGAAAATAGGGACAGCACCATTCTGGGGATTTTCCTGTGTTAGTTTTCCTGGCAGCCTTTGGATTACAGGATTTCACTTTGGAGGGGTGAGGGAGGAAGGCCTTGATAAGGAGATTTTGATATTAAAATAAATCTAAAATGGAATTTTAGCCTAAAATTAGGAAGAATTCTCCAAGGAGGAACTGGTACCTTGGCACAAGGAGGAGCTTGGAAATGGAGTTTTCATTTCTCCTCCTCATCTTTCCCTGCCAATTTTGACACCAATTTTTGCCCTCATCCCACATGGAGAGGGGTTGGATGGGGAAAGGTCTGGGGGCAGAGAAGGGTTTGGGGATGGACGAGGGATTGGAGGAGAAGGATTTTGGGGTGGAGAAAGATTTGAGGAAGGAGAAGGGTTTGGTGGAGGAGGATTTGGTGAGGAAGGAGCGATTGCTGATGGAGAAGGATTTGGGGGTGGAGAAGGGATGGGTTATGGAGAAGAGTTAAGTGATGGAGAAGGATTTTGAGGGTGGGGAAGGATTTGGTGGGGAAAGATTTGGGGATGGAGAAGAATTTTGGGGTGGAAAAGGATTCAGGAGTGGAGAAGGATTTGAAGCAGTAGAAGGGTTTGGGAATGAGGAGGGGTTTGGAAATGAGGAGGGGTTTGGGAAGGGTTTGGGAATGACGAGAGGTTTGGGAAAAGAGAGATTTGGGAATGACAAGGGGTTTGGGAAGGGTTTGGGAATGACAAGGGTTTTGGGAATGAAGAGGTGTTTGGGAAAGGTTTGGGAATGGAGGGGTTTGGGAATGATGAAGGATTTGCCGATGGAGCACTGCAGGGTTTGGTGCTGGAGCCATCCGGAGCCATCTGCTCCCCATTCCCGGCCTTTTGAAGTGGCAGCTGAGCCTGGGGCCGGAGCAGGAGCTTTGATGTCCCTGCTCTGGCCAAGCCTGGGCCATAAAACCTCCCTGGCACGGCTGATTCACACCCTTTGCTCCCGGGATTTTGCAGCTCTTCCCTGCAGCCAGGCAGAAAGAAAGAGATTTTTTTTTTCTGCTTTTTTCAGTGTTAAATACTTCTAAAAAGTGGGATTTTTTTAATTAAAAGAAATATTGGGACATCATCAAAGAGCAGGAGGAGAAGGGAAACTTCCCTCAGCTTTCCAAACCTTTAACAAATCCTTTTGCTCTTCACATCCTTACAATCCAAGTTGGGATGACCTGAATTCCAAACTTCTCCCAGAAAATGGTGCTGGTGCAGGGATGCTGCTTTTCCATTCTTAGGCTCCAAGGAGATCACTGAGCTTGGGATGGGAACGTGTGGGAGGTGGGTGTGGGTCCAGCATGAAGGGATGGGCCCTGGGATGCAGCTGGAGCGGATTCTACTCCATTAGTAAATCAGGGATCAGTACTCAGGGAAGCAGCCAGAAATTCCGAGAAAATTCCCTTTATCTTGACTGTAGCTAAAGATAATCTGTGTGAATGCTTGTGGGGGGCCCCAGCCCACCCAGGGAATTCCTGAAGGAAAATCCACCACCACAGGACTTATTCCCACTATGGACCAGCCTGACTGCCCCAGGACCCACTTCTGCTCTTTTTCCAGCTTTTTTTTCCAAAGAAAACAAGAGCAAGGAGTGGTCCCTGTGCCTCCCAGCCCAGGAGTGTGCTGGGAGTTGTGCCAGGATTGGGCTGGGAAATGTGTTGGGACCGAGCTGAGGAGTGCCAGGAGCAAGGCTGGGAAATGCTGGGACTGGGCTGGGGGCTGTGCTGGGATCAGACTGGGAATTGTGCCTGGACTGGGGTGAGGAGTGTGCTGACATGGGGATGGGGAGCAAACTGGGATTGGGCTGGGAAATGCCTGCTTTGGGGTGTGGAGCATTCCGGGACTGGGCTGGGAAGCTCACCAGGAATGAGCTGGGAAGTGTGCTGGGATTGGACTGGCAAATTCACTGGGATGAACTGGGAAGCTCACCTGAAAGTTCACCAGGATTGAACTGGGGAATGACCAGGACTGGGCAGGGAAGTTTGCTGGGATAAGGCTGGGAAGAGCACAAGGAGTGGGCTGGGAAATGCCTGGTTTGGGGTGGGAGTGTGCTGGCATTTATCTGGGAATTGTACCTGGATCAGACTGGGAAACGTGCTGGCCTTGAGCTGGGAAGGATGTTGGGAATGGGTTGAGCAGTGCACTGGAATGGGCCTGGAAGCTCATCAGAGTTGGGCTGAGCAGCTCATTGGGATCAGCCTGGGGAGATCTGGGTTGGACTGGGGACTGTGCTGGCACTGGGCTGGGAATCTCCCTGGGAATGGGACAGGGGACAGGAGCACTGTCCCCAAGGGAAGCGTTGCCATCCCTGTGTCCCCTCTGCAGTCTTCCAAGAAGCCCAAGACGGCGGAAGCCGACACGTCCAGTGAGCTGGCCAAGAAGAGCAAGGAGGTGTTCAGGAAAGAGGTGAGGGATCCCAGACTGGGGATGGGGATGGGGATGGGGATGGGATGGGATGGGATGGGATGGGATGGGGCTGTGGATGGGATGGGATGGGATGGGGCTGTGGATGGGATGGGATGGGATGAGGGGACTGTGGATGGGATCAGGGGGCTGTGGATGGGATCAGGGGGCTGTGGATTTGGGCTGTGGATGGGATCAGGGGTCTGGATCCAGCGTGTCTCCCACAGATGTCCCAGTTCATCGTGCAGTGCCTGAATCCCTACCGGAAACCCGACTGCAAAGTGGGCAGGATCACCACCACTGAGGACTTCAAACACCTGGCACGCAAGGTGGGAACGTGGGACACGGGGATGGGGGACATGGGGGGTACAGGGACATGGGAACACGAGGAGGATGGGAACGTGGGGACATGGAGAGACACGGGGACATGGTCACACACAGGGTATGGGGACACAGGAATGTGGGGACATGGAGGGTACAGGGACATAGGGACGTGGGAACATGGATACAGGGACATGGGGACATGGAGAGTATAAGGACATGGGGACACAGGATGTGGGGACATAGGGACAGTGGGTACAGGGACATGAGGATGTGGGACATGGGAATATGGATACAGGGACACAGGGATGTGAGGACATAGGGACAGTGGGTAGAGGGACATGGAGACACAGGGATATAGGGATAATGGACATGGGGACACAGGGACATGGAATGTGGGATTGGGGACATGGAGAGTGTGGGTTCACTGGAATGTGGGAGGTGGGGACATTGGGTACAGGGACACAAAGATGTGGGGACATGGAGGATAGAGGGATATGGGGACACGGGTTTGGGGTTCAAGGAGTTGGGAACATGAGGGGTTTGGGAACTTGGGGATAACAGGGATGAGGGGGATGTGGGACATGGGGACACAGGATACAGGAACATGGAGGGTACAGGGACAATGGGGTGTGGGGACTTGGGGACAAAGGGCTGGCCCCAGGAAATGGGATCGTGTCATTCCAACTGCCTCCAGCTCCTTGGAAGATGAGGCAAGGGAAGGAGAAATGGTGAGGGGATATTGGGAGAACAATAGAAAATACTTAGGGAATATTTGGGGAATAACAGAGCAATAATAGTGAATAATTGGGGAATAATGGATAAATAGTATGGAGGAATAATAGGAAACATTTAGGGAATATTTGGGGAATAACAGGGCAATAATAGTGAATAATTGGGGAATAATGGATAAATAATATGGAGGAATAATAGGAAACATTTAGGGAATATTTGGGGAATAATAGAAAATATCTGGGGAATATCTAGGCAATAATAGAAAAAGGGAATATTTGTGAATAATAAGAAATAATTGGGGAATAATTGCAAATATTGGCACAACAATACCAAATATTTAGGGAATATTTGGGATATAATAGCAGATTGAATGTTGGGAATTATTTGGGGAATATCTGGGAAGTAATAGAAAAATAGCTTAGGGCCTAATAGGGAATATTTGGGGAGTAATAGGAAAATAGCTTGGGAATGTTTGGAAAGTAACAGCAGGTATTGAGTGAACAATACCAAATATTTGGGGAATATTTAGGGAGTAACAGGAAATACTTGGGCAATAATATGACAGGAGCTCAGGGAATATTGGGGGAGTAATATAACAATAGCTTGGGGAATGTTTGGAAAATATAGCAGATATTTGGGCAACACTACCAAATATTTATGGAATATTTAGGGAATATTTGAGGAGTATTTGGGGAATAATACAACAATAGCTTGGGCAATATCTGGAAATAACAGGGAATATTTGGGGAATAATAGGAAAATAGCTTGGGAATGTTTGGAAAATAACAGCAGATATTGAGGGAACAATAGTAAATATTTGGGGAATATTTGAGGACTATTCAGGGAATATTTGGGGAATATTTGGGGAGTAATATAACAATAGCTTGGGGATATCTAGTAATAACAGGGAATATTTGGGGAATAATAGGAAAATAGCTTGGGAATGTTTGGCAGATATTGAGGGAGCAATACCAAATATTTAGGGAATATTTGGGAAGTATTTGAGGAATATTTGAGAACTAATATAAAAATAGCTTGGGCAATACCTAGAAATAACAGGGAATATTTGGGGAATAATAGGAAAACAACAGCAGATATTGAGGGAGCAATACCAAATATTTAGGGGAATAATATGTCAGTGGCTCAGGGAATAGCTGGAAATAAGGGGGAATATTTGGGAAGTTGGAGCACAGTGCCTTGGGGGAGTGCCCAGACCTGGGCTGGGTGGGAATTCCTGGACTGACTCCCGTGGCATTCCCGTGGCATTGCCACCTCCCCACAGCTGACCCACGGAGTGATGAACAAGGAGCTCAAATACTGCAAGAACCCCGAGGACCTGGAGTGCAACGAGAACGTCAAACACAAAACCAAGGAATACATCAAGAAGTACATGCAGAAATTCGGGATCCTCTACAAGCCCAAAGAGGACACGGAGCTGGAATAGCCCCTGGAATAACCCCCCGGCCCTCGGGAGCCCCGATTCCCACCGGGATTCGCCCTCCCGAGCCACCGACCTGTGAATTTATTATTATTATTATTAATTATTATTATTATTATGACGATGATGGATTTTTTGGGGTTTTTTTTTTTAAGGAAAACAAACTTGGTTCCCGTCGCTGAGGATGAGCCAGGCTTTCCTAAGCCTGCTTTTCCTGATCCAGGCTTTCCCAAGCCTGGCTCTCCTGGCGCTGCTCCCAAGCTCTGTATTATATTTTAACGTATATGTGAATATATTGATAATAATTTGCTTTTTTTTTTCCCGTTGCTTTCAGCCCCAAACGTGCCAATCCCACGGGAACGTTTGGCAGGAGACTTTGGGGGTTATTCCCGGATTTTAATTTTTTTTTTGTTTGTTTGTTTTTTTTTCCTTGGTTTTTCCTTTTGGTTCTGCGAGGTTTCCTCCGTTTCCCTGTAAATACTGCGGATTTCTGGCCATGTTGATAAGATTGATTTTACTGCTTCGAGCATTTTACTTTATCCAATTTTTACGGAACTTTTTATGTAAAAAAAAAAGAGCAAAAAAAGAGAAATAAAAAATCAAAAGAAAAAAAAAACAACAACAAAACAACAAACCCAAAACAACCCTGAACCCCAAAATCGACGCAGGGTGGGACCACAAGGGGGACCTGGCTTGGGATGTCCCCTCTCCCTTGGGGACCTCCTGTCACCTTCAGCATTTCTGGGAATCTGGACCCCCTGGGAAGGGAAGGTTGGGGTGACCTGGGAGCATTTTGAGGTTAAAACCGGCTTTTTCTGTCCTTGGGGTCTTTAGGGTGTCCCCTCCTCCTCCTAAGGCCACCCACGCCAGGGGTGGGTGTGGGACACATGCCAGGACACACGTGGGGACACGTGGATGGCCAAGGACACAAATCCCAGGGACACCTGAGGGGTCCCATCCTTGGCCCTGGGGAAATCTGGGACACCTGGGGACACCCAGCCCAGATATCTGAGCAGTCACATCCCAAGGATGCAGGGACAACCAGGGACACATCTCGGGGACAAAGGGACACCTAGGGACACTTGGGATACATCCTAGGGACACACAGGTGCCTGAGGACACAAACCCTGGTGACACACAGACACCTGAGGGGACTCACTTGGGACACCCGAGGGGGGAACATTCCAGGGACACATGGACACCTGGGGATACTGGGATTCCTGAAGGGACACACCCACAAGCCCGGGAACACGCACGGACACACAGACACTCGAGGACACAAACCCTGGTGGCACCCAGTGACACGTTTAATGCCCCCACCCAGGGACCAGCCACCAAAAGTCCCTGTCCCACCCCCCAGAATCCCTAAAAAAGTACAAAACCCACGTAAAAAAAACCCCAGGAATCCATTGGGAAGGGGAAGCACCGCTGGGGGCGCGGCCCCGGTGTCGCCGGGAGTGTCACACGGCGGAGGTGACATCGCCCGGTGCCACCGCGGGGCCGGGGCCGCGCCGCTCGCTGCCGGGCGCTCCCAGCTCCAGGAGCCGCTCCAGCTCTCCCGGCTCCTCCTGGCGCCCTCGGGGACCCTCGGGGGACGCTGCGGGGAGGGACAGGATCAGCACCCCCGAATTCCACACCGGGAGAGACGGAGCGAGGGATGGGGGCGGCTCCCGACCCCCCCCCGGGGGGTGTAGGGGAGCCCCGACCCCATCCGGGTGCTCCCTAATCCTATTTAGGGGCTTCTGGACCCCATCCAAGTGTTCCCTAATCCCGTTTAGGGCCTTCCCGACCCCTTTGGGTGCTCCCCGATCCCATTTGGGGGGCTTCCCAACCCCTTTGGATGCTCCCTAATCCCGTTTAGGGTTTTCCCAACCCCACTCCGTGCTCCCCGAATCCATTTGGATGCTCCTGCACCCACCCCGTGCTCCCTGACCCCATCCCATCCCATCCCATCCCATCCCCATCCCATCCCCATCAGGTCACCCCAAACCGTGACCCTCGCCGGGGCTGGGTGTCCCGAAACCCGCGGATGTTCCCCCAAATCCCCCCCAGGTCTGGTTGTCCCCAAATCCCCCCAGGTCTGGATGTCCCCCGAAATTCGCCCAGGTCTGTGTGTCTCCAAGCCCCTCCAGTTCTGGCTGTCCCCAGTCCCCCCAGTTCTGGCTGTCCCCGTCCCCCCAGCTCAGGCTGTCCCCAGTCCCCCCAGTTCTGGCTGTCCCCGTCCCCCCAGTTCTGGCTGTCCCCGTCGCCGTCCCGGGCCGCTCACGGTGCTGCGCTGGCTCCAGCCCGGCGCTGTCCGAGCACAGGCCGCTGTCCCCCCGCAGTTTCTCCGCGTCCCCCGCCTCCCCCGTGTCCCTCGCCTTGTCCAGCTGCCGCTTCTTCCTGCAGGTGTCCCAGCTGCGGGGGACACCGGGGGGGTCACCGGGAGGGTCCCCAAATCCCCGCGTGTGTCCCCCGGCACCCCGCACTCACCACTTGAAGGCCACGTAGGCCACGAGCCCCACGACGAGCGCGGCCAGGAGGGCGCAGTACAGGGGGATGATGTCCCCGGGGGGCGGCTCGGGGGGAGCCCCCGACACCGGAGGGGTCACCCGGGGGTTCCCCGACACCGGCAGGGTCACTCGGGGGTCCCGCGACATCGGGGGGGTCCCCTCAGGCAGCGGCGCCGCGGCCTCGTCTGTGGGAGCCCCCCCAAAAAATAAAGGGAAGGGGATGCGAACGTGGCAGGCTCGGTTTTACCCCTTGGAGAGGGGTAAGGGGTGAGACCCCCGGGTTTGGGGACATCCCCACGGTCACCCCAAGAGGGACACGGTGGGAATGTGAGGCACAGTGAGGGGGGAATGAGGGGAAAAGGGAAAGTGAGGCAGAAAAGAGGGAATGGGATAAAATGGGGCACAATGAGGGGAAAGGAGGGGGAAAGGGGGATGAGGTGAAAAAGGGAAACTGAGGCACAGAAAGGGGAAACTGAGGCACAAAACCAGGGAATGAGGTGAAAAAGGGAAACTGAGGCACAAAAGGGAATGAGATAAATAAGGGGAAAGTGGGAATAGGATAAAACGGGGGAAACTGAGGCACAGTGAGGGGAAATGAGGGGGAAAGGGGAAACTGAGGCACAAAAGGGAATGCGGAGGAAAAGGGGGATGAGGTGAAAAAGAGAAACTGAGGCAGAGAAAGGGGGAATGAGGGACAAAGGGGGAAACTGGGGTACAAAAAGGGGAATAAGGTGGAGAAGGGAAACTGAGGCACAGAAAGAGGGAACGAGGTGAAAAAGGGGGAATGCGGCAGAAAAAGAAGGAATGAGGTGAACAGAGAAACTGAGGCACAAAAGAGGAAACGGGGTCAAACAGGGGAAACTGAGGCACAAGGGAATGAGGTGAAAAAGGGAAACTGAGGCAGAAAAAGGGGGAAAGAGGGATGAAAAAAGGGAATGAGAAAAAAAAGCGAAAACTGAGGCAAGACACGAGGAAACTAAAGTAGGACATGGGGAAATTGAGAGGCGGCTGGGGAAACTGAGGCACAAAAGGGGAAATGAAGCAGGATAAGGGGAAATTCTGGAATGATGTGGGGAAACTGAGGCACAGTGTGAGGAAAATGAAGCAGGACGGGAAACTGAGACACAAAAGGGGACAGTGAGGAAAACGAGGGGAAACTGAGGCACAGGGTGGGGAAATTAAGGAATGATGAGGAAAGAGACACGGACAAGGAAAAACTGAGGCACCACAAGGGGAAATTAAGGAGCAGCAAGGGGAAACTGAGGCACAATTTAGTAAACTGAGGCACCACAAGAGGAAATTAAGGAGCAGCAAGGGGAAACTGAGGCGGAATTTAGTAAACTGAGGCACCACAAGAGGAAATTAAGGAGCAGCAAGGGGAAACTGAGGCACAATATGGGAAATTAAGGAATGACACGAGGAAAGACACGATGAAGAGAAACTGAGGCAGGACATGGGATATTGAGGCACCACAAGGGAAAACAGGCACAAAAAAGGGAAATTAAGGAGCGACATGGGGAAACAGGCACAAAAGGGAAACTGAGGCATGAAAAGGAAATTAAGGAGCAGCAAGGGGAAACTGAGGCGGAATTTAGTAAACTGAGGCACCACAAGAGGAAATTAAGGAGCAGCAAGGGGAAACTGAGGCACAATATGGGAAATTAAGGAATGACACGAGGAGAGACACGATGGAGGGAAACTGAGGCACCACAAGGGAAAACTGAGGAACAAAAGGGGAAATTAAGGAGCGACACGGGGAAACTGAGGCACGAAAAGAGAAACGGAGGCAGAAAGGGGGACCCCTCCCCAGTGCCCCCCTTTGGGGTCCCGGTGCCACTCACGGGTGCAGGGCGGGCAGGGCGGGCACGGCTCCTCCGGCTCCTCCTCCGCGGGGCTCCGCGCTGCGGGTTTGGGGCATTTTTTGGGTTTTTTGGGGTTGTTTTTGGGGAGTGCCGCTGGGTTCGGGGGGGTTTTGGGGGTACTCACTGCGGGTGCAGGGCGGGCAGCGGCTGTCGCAGGGCTCGGGGACACCGGGGGGACACTGGGGACACTCCCCGCCCCGCCCCGGCACCTGCGGGCACAGAGGAGATCCTGCCTCAGTTTCCCCTAAATCCGCGAATTCCCACTGGGAACCCCCCAAAAAAACCATGGAAAAGGGGGTTTGGAGGAGGGGAAAGAGTGGGAATTGAGGAAGAGTAAAAATAAATAATGATGAGAAAGGGAAATAAATAAAAGCGGGGAATCAAACGGAAAGAGTAAAAAGGAAAGGAAATAAATAGTAAATAAAAGTGAGGTAAATGGCACTGGAATGGAAAGGAATGAAAAGAAATAAACGAAATAAAAGAGTAAAGCAGGGAAAAGCTGAATTAAATTAAAGTGGAAGGAAAACAACGTGAGATAAAGGGAAATAAAAGGAAAATAAGGAAAGTAAAATAGGGTAAGATGAAATAAAACAGGGAAAATTAAATACAATAAAAAAGGAAAATTAAAAAAAAAAGAGGAAAATAAAATGAATTCAAAAAAGGTGAAGGAAATACAAGAGGAAAATAAAAATAAAATAAAAAATAAAAAGGATGATTAAAAGAACGATAAAAAGAAAATTATAGAAAGGAAAAGAAAAAGAAAATAAATAGAAAATAAACCAGGAAAATAAAAGAAAATAAAGAGTAAAAAAAAAATGGAGGGAAACGGAATAAAATGAAAGAAAAGGAACTGAACCGAAATGGCCCAAACTTAACAGAACCAAACCCAAAAAACTTCAACAAAAGCCACGGAGCGAAGTGACCCGGAGGGCCCCGGGGGCATCGCGAGACCCAGCCCGTCCCATCCCGGTCCCGTCCCATCCCGGTCCCGGGTCGGTGCCGCTCCCGCTCCCCCTCCCGGTCCCGTCCCGCCCGCACCGGGCTCAGCAGCAGCAGCAGCAGCGGCACCGGCAGCGTCTGCATCGTCGGGACCGGCCCGGGACCCCCGCTCCGGGCCGGGCCGAACCGAGCCCGAGCGGCACCGAACTGCTCCGAACCGCTCCGGTCCCGTCCGGCACCGCTCGGCCTCGGTTCGGCTCCGCTGGGTCCCGGTTCGGCTCCGTCCGGCCCCGCTCGGTCCCGGTTTGGCGCCGGTCGGCCTCGCTGGGCGCCGGTTCAGCTCCGTCCGGCCCCGCTCGGTCCCGGTTTGGCGCCGGTCGGCCTCACTGGGCGCCGGTTCGGCTCCGTTCAGCTCCGTCCGGCCCCGCTCGGTCCCGGTTTGGCGCCGGTCGGCCTCGCTGGGCGCCGGTTCGGCTCCGTTCAGCTCCGTTCGGCCCCGCTCGGTCCCGGTTCGGCTCCGCTGGGTCTCGGTGTGGCTCCGTTCGGTCCCGCTCGGTCCCGGTTCGGTTCCGCTGGGTCTCGGTGCGGCTCCGTTCGGCCCCTCTGAGTCCCGGTTCGGCTCCGTCCAGCCCCGCTCGGTCTCGGTTCGGCCCCGGTTCGGCTCCGCCCGGCCCTGCTCGGTCTTGGCTTAGCTCCGTCCGGCCCCACTCGGTTCCGGTTCGGTTCCGTTCGGCCCCGCTGTGTCCCAGCTCGGCCCCAGCTCGGTCCCAGTTCGGCTCCGTCCGGCCCCGCTCGGCTCCTCTCGCCGCTCCGTCGCGCCTGGGCCGGGCCGGGCTGGGCGTGGCTCCCTCGGGCAGGGCCGGGCGGGGCGCGCTCCCATTGGCTGCGCGCGCCATGAGGGGCGTGGCCAGGCGTGGAGCCCTGCCTCTGGCAGCTCCGGGGATCGCGGGTTCGAGTCCCAGCCGGGACTCTCCCATCGGAATGGGTCCAAATTGGACCGGACTGGTCCGACCTGGGGTCGAAGGCACCGCAGGAACGGTGTCACCCACCCCCTCCTCCACCTCCCCACGGCTCTTCCCCGCGGGAATAAATGCCTGGAAGCGGGAGAAGCAGCTTTATTGAGCCCCGGTGTGGGTGCAGCACCTGGGGGGTGGGGCAGGGTCTCAGCGTGGGCGCAGCATTCCGGCGTGGGTGGAGGGACAGGGACATGGAGTGGGTGCAGGGAGTGGGAATGACTGTGGGAGTGGGTGCAGGGTCTTGGTCCAGGGTGGGTGCAGGGTCCCAGGGTGGGTGCAGAGTCTCGGTCCAGGGTGGGTGCAGGGTCTGGGTGCGGGTGCATCCCCCCAGAATCTCCTCTCTCTCGTCTCTACCAGCCGCGCACGGGGCGCCAGAGCTCCACCACCTTCCCGGCAGCGTGCACGAAGTACACGGGGTGCATGGCGGCCGTGGCACAGGCCTGCGACAGAGGGGACACTGAGCTGTGACACAAGACTGGCACAGAGGGGACACGCGGGGCTGACACTCACATGGTACGGGATGAGCGCTAGGATGCTTCCCACCGGGAATTGCTCGAAATCCAGCTCCCCGTCCACAGCCTCCACCTGCCCGTGCTCCTGGGTCAGCCCCACCAGCCTGCGGGGACACGAGGCACAGGTGTCACCCCTCGTCCCCGCCTGTCCCTCCCTCCCCTCCCCTGGCCCCCGCGGGTGTCACCGGAGCTGGGGGTGGCCCTCGATGGCGGCACAGCCCGCGGGTCCCTGGTCGCGGCCGTGCAGGCTCAGCCCGGCCCAGCCGCAGTCCACGAGCAGCTGCCCGCGGTGGCGATAGTGGCCGATGACCCTGGTGAGGACACGGATGGCCACCTCCTCGGGCCGGCACGAGCCCAGCTGGGTCTGCTGCAGGTCTGCGGGGGGAACAAAGGCTCAGCCTGGCCGTGTCCCACCCTCGGGGGACAAGTAGAACACGTGTAATTACTCACCGTAGAACAGGTAATTGCCCGGGTGCACCTCGGTGAGCTGCGACATCTCCGGCACCGGGTGGCTGCAGGACGGGGTGGAGCCGATGGTGGCCTGGGGACACGGGATCCCCGCCTGCCGCAGCCTGGGGACACACGGGGGCACCCTCTGGGTGATCGGGGACGTCACCCCCAGGTGACCAGAGGTGGGTCTGTCACCCCCGGACACTGCTGAGAACAAGACCAGAGGTGGATCCTGCACCTCTGGGCCCCCCAGATGTGCCGGGGAGCCCCCCAAACACTCAAGGGAGCCATCCAGATGTGGCAGCGCCTCCCCCCCAGCGTGCCAGGGAGAATGCAAGATGTGCTGGGGACACATCCAGATGGGCCCAGGTGCCAGCCAGATGTGCCCGAGAGCGCCCTCAAAGACTCAGGGCGGGTGTATGTCCCTCCAGATCCCCCCAGATGTGGAAGAGCACCCTCCAGATGTGCCCAAGCATCCCCAGGTGTGCCAGAGATCCACCCGTATGAGCTGGACACCCCCCCAGATGTTTTAAAGCAGTCCCAAATGTAAATGAGGACCCCCAGATGTGCTGGAGACCTCCCCAGGATGCGTGAGGATGCCACCAGATGTGCCTGGGAGGCCGCAGTTGTGCCAGAGATCATCCAGATGTGCCTGGGATCCCCTCAGCTGTGCCAGGCCGTTCCCAGATGTGCCAGAAACCCCCCCGGGATGTGTCAGGCCCCCCTGGTGGTGCCTGGGACCCTTCCCAGATGTGCCCGAGCACCCCCCAGATGTCCTTGGGACCCCTCCCAGATATTCCTGGACCCCCAGATGTGCCCCAGCACCCCCCAGATTTTGGGGAGGGGGTGGGATCTGAGGTTTCCCCACCACAACCCGGTGCCACCACGGGCCGGGCCGGGCCGGTGACCCCCAGGACGTGTCCCCAGGTGGGCACATCCCTGTCTCTGGCGGATGGTGGGGGGAGGTCCCTCCCCCATTTCCCAGCAGGAACCATCCGGCCGCAATTCCCTGCAGGATGCGAACCCCCGGCGGGATGAAAGGGTGACAGGGAGGAGGGAGGGGACAATGCCCCAGGTCACAACTCGCCACCGCAGCCACATCAAAGGCGAGCGGCGCCGCCGCCACCCCCCGGTGCCCCCCGGGGGGGCTTTGAGGGCCCCTTTATGGGGGCGATTCGAATTTACAACCAACAGCCGCACTTCGGGGAAGGGACAGCGGCCGCCTTGACCCTTCCTGTCCCCAAATCCCCTGAATCCCGCTCATCCCGGCCACTCACGCGGTGACGAATTCCAGCACGGCGGCCGTGGTGTCCCTGGCGATGGCCTGGATGGCCGGGATGTCGCGACAGCCGTAGGTGTTCCCGCAGTGCGCGTAGACCCCCACGAGTGTCACCAGCTGCGGGGAGCCCTGGGCGATGGAGCGCGCCAGGGCCAGCGCCTCGGGATCCGTGGGACGAATCCCGGCTGGGGAGGGGGACACGAGCGTGGGAGGGGGCTTGGGGACACTGGGACATCGCCCCATGGAGCATCCTGGCGGTGGGGATGTGGGGATGGGGTTGGGAAGTTGAGGGTTTGGAAATTCCATCGTGGGGCTTTGGGGCCGCTCGTGCCAGATTTCCCAGGCCTGGCTGGGAAAAATGATTTTGGAGGGGCTGAGATGCTCTGTCATGGCTGGGATGGAGGATCTGGAGGGACATGGGGATCCATTCCCGTGGAGCATCCTTAAACAATGATTTTAGGGGGGGTTTAGATGCTCCATCATGGTTGGGATGGAGGACCTGGTGATTTGGAGGGACACAGGACATCGTTCCCTGAAGGAACATCCTCGATTAATGACTTTTAGGGACTTCAATGCCCCATCCTGGTTGAGCTGCTGGATCCGGGGGGCACTCAGAGCATCCCACCCCATGGCCCATCCTGGATGAAACCCCCTCGGGACAGCACAAGATGCCCCCTCCCTGCACCCCGGGGTGGGATTTGGGGGTCACCTACCCCGGCCATTCCCGCAGTCCAGCTTGAGCCAGACGAGCCAGCGCTTCCCATTGGGAAGGGGGTTCTGGAGCAGCAGCTCCAGCCCCTGGGGGCTGTCCAGGAGCACCTGGAATTCCTGGAGGCGCTGGGCGAGCTCCGAGCACTCGGCCAGGCGCCACCGTGGCACCGGGAACGCGTACAGGATGTCATCGAAGCCCCCGGCCGCGAAGAAGCGAGCCTCGGCCAGCGTGGACACCACGATGCCCCGGCGGGTCCCGCCCGTCGCCAGCTCCGCCCCTTCCCTGGAAATCGGGGATTGAGGGAGGAGGAGGAGGATGAGGGAATGCCGGAGAGGTGCTGGGGGATGCTGGGGGGGGGGGGGGGGGGGGTGCTGGGAGCTAAAAGAGATTTGGGGGGCACTGGAAGGATGGGGATGGTGAGAGGGAGGATGAGGAGGGTGAGGATGATGAGAGGGAGGATGAGGAGGCGCTGGGGGGAAGATGGGGATGGTGAGAGTGAGGATGATGAGAAGGAGGATGAGGAGGTGCTGGGAGGGATTCCGGGAGGGATACTGGGGGAGAAGCTGGGTGCAAGGGAGAGGATGTGGGATACTAGGAGGATGGTGATGGGATACTGGGAGGATGGGGAAATACCTGGAGGGAAGGTGGGCCTGATGAGGGAGTGTTGGGAAGGATTCTTGGAAGGTGCTGGAAGGAGGGTGGGAGCTAAGAGAGATTTGGGGGACACTGAGGGGATGGGAGGATACTGGAAGGAAGGTGGGGATGATGAAAAGGAGGATGAGGAGGCGCTGGGGGCAAGATGGGGATGGTGACAGTGAGGATGAGGAGGGTGAGGATGTTGAGAGAGGGAGGATGAGGAGGCACTGGAGATGATGAGAAGGAGGATGAGGAGGTGCTGGGAGGGATTCTGGGAGGGATACTGGGGGAGAAGCTGGGTGCAAGGGAGAGGATGTGGGATACTGGGAGGATGGTGAGGGGATACTGGGAGGATGGGGAAATACCTGGGGGGAAGGTGGGGCTGATGAGGGGGTGCTGGGAGGGATTCTGGGAGGATGCCTGAGGGAAGCTGAGAGGTGCTAGGGGAGAAGATGGGGAGATACTGGGAGGAATCTGTAGGAATAAATGAGGGATACTGAGGGGGAAGTTGAGGAATGCTGAGGGGGGATATGGGGAATGCTGGGAGGGATACTGGGAAAATGCTGGAGGGATTCTGTGTGGGAATGCTGGGAGGATATTGGAGGGATATTGGGGAGAGGCTGGGGGTGAAGCTGAGGGAATGCTGAGAAGAACCGGGGCAGGATTGGGAGATACTGGGTGGGAAGGTGGGGTGTCCTGAGGGGAAGATGGGAGGGCGGTGGGAGGGATACTGGGAGGATGCTGGAGAAACTGGGGGATAATGAGGAGGAAGCTGGTGGGGAGGGTGGGGGATACTGGGAGGATGGGGGGGATGCTGGAGAAGGATTTTTGGGGTGAGGATGGGGAGATGCTGGTGGGAAAACTGGGTGAAGTTTGGGGGGTACTGGGGGGACACAGAGGCATGGGGGGAGGATGTCGGGGGGTTCCGGATGGGTACTGGGGGGTTCTGGGGTCACACTCACAGGGTTTTGTGTGTTTTGACGTGGGGGCGCAGGCGCAGCCCCAGGGCCCGGCAGCGCTCCCGCATCCTCTCGGCGTTCCCGCGCAGCGTGGCCCGGTCCAGGGTCAGCGCCGGGGTGGGCAACTGCTCCAGGGGGGCTCCCAGCCACGAGCTGGGAATGTGGGGAGGGGGAGGGAGTGGGGGGAACCTGCTGTGAACCCCTTCCCCAACCTAAACCCAGCCTGTACCCTCAAACCCTCCCTCTGCCCACCCTACACCCACCTAACGCCACCCTACACCCCCAGAGGGTGCTGGGGGTCCCTGTCCCCAGGTGGGGGGTGTGGGCTCCCCCAGAGACCCGGCACTGGGGATTTTGGGTGGGGACGGTGCTGAGGTAGCCCCAGGGTGTCCCTTGCTCCTAAGGCACAATCCAGGGTTTTCCTGGAGTCAGGTGGGTGCTGGGACTGGGATATGGGAGGAGGAGTGGGACATGTGGGACACCTGAAACAAGGACACCTGGGTCCCCTTGGATAGGGATACTGGAAGCAGGGATACCTGGGACTTCAATCTATGGAACAGGGACACCTGGGACGGGAAAGCTGGGACTGGGAAACCCGGGACTGGGACACCTGGGATGGGGACACCTGGGACTGAGACACAGGGAAAAGGGACACTGGGAAAAGGGACACTTGTGGGGAGGGGGAATCCTTGGGACAGGATGTCTGGAATTGGGTCACCTGGGCTGGGGCCAACTGAGCCGAAATCCGGCAACACGGGCACCAGTCCAATCTCCAGCGGGACGGGAACACCCTCCAGCAGCGTGACCTCGTGTCCCCGCCACCGCGGCGTCCCCTGCCCCGGCCCGTGTCCCCTCCCTGCCCTGCCCACCTGTCCGTGTGTCCGTCCATGGCTCCGTCCGGCTCTGGCTCCGGTGGCCCCGCGGGTGCCCCGTGCCCCACGTGACGCGGTGGCACCGCCGCCAGAGCGGGGACAAGGGTCACTGCCAGCCGAGGGGCCTCGCCGGGGTGGCAGGGCCAGCGGAGGACACGCGGCCAGGACAGGCTGCCGAGCTCCGGGGACAGCCGGGAGGGACACGGAGGGGACACCGGGACCGGGACGTGCTGCGGGGGCTGCGGAGACCCCCGGGCTGGTGACACGGGACAAACGGGGGGGTTGAGACCCCCCCTAAACTCGTGACATGTGTGAACGGCTGAATGTCCCCCCCTGGGACACGGCGGGGACACACCTGATGTTGCTGAGACCCTCCTAAACTCGTGACACACGTGTGGGGAGCTGCTGTGTCCCCTAAACTCGTGACATGGGGGTGCAAAGCCGCTGAGACCCCCTAAACCTGTGACATGTGTGGGGAGCTGCTGAGACCCCCCCTAAACTCGTGACATGGGGGTGCACAGCTGCTGAGACCCCCCCAACTTGTCACATTTAAGTCCAGCTGCTGCTGAGGACCCCCACACTCATGACAGGTGTGTGCACAGCCATTGAGGGCCCCCAAACTTGTCACACGTGTGCACAGGTGCTGAGACCTCCCCACACTCATGACAGGTGTGTGCAGAGCTGCTGAGAGCCCCTAAAACTGTGACACGTGGGCACAGAGCTGCTGAGACCCCCATACTGGTGACAGGTGTGTGTGCAGAGCTGCTGAGACCTCACAAACTCGTGACACGTGGGCACAGAGCTGCTGAGTCCCGCCCCACTCATGACACGAGTGTCCCCATGCCCCCCTGCCTGGCACAGCCTGTGCTGGGACCCCCAGTGCAGGACACCACGGTGGGGGGACACACACAGGAGGGAGTGCGTCCCCATCTTGGGACAGCCACGGACCTCACACTTTGATTTCCCACAGATATATTATTATTATTATTAATTATTATTATTAATAACAATTCTTTTTCTGTAAAAGCTCTAAAAATGGATAGAAATAAAAAATAAGGGGGG